TGTCTTGCCAAGGGCTAAGAGAGCAAAAAGGTTGTCTGAGGTAAGGAGGTCCGAGCAAGAGGAAATATCGTTCAGAACGTACCTCTTTAAATAGTTATCCCTATCCCTGCAAACACCGTAACTCAAATCATCACAAGGAATGCCTAAGGAACGGCATAAGAAAGTACAAAAGCGAGGAATGCAAATCTCGCAAGGACAGTCACTCTTATGGGTTTTGTATTTTTTATACGAAGAGACAGAGCACTCTCCAAAAGCGCTCGGGATAGGGAAGTCCTTTGCGACTGGAAAAAACCAGGCTCCCCTAATCCCAATTATATTTTTCCTCCAACCCTTCTCAGATTTGATTTTATCTTTGCATATGGACCTCTTCTCAATTGGGTAGAAATAGTAGAACAGTTCATCAGTTCGGATTTTGCTAACCTTGTAACAGAGGAGAAGATCTATGAGGTCAAGATCTAGACCTCTGTCACGGTTCAGAAGCAACATAACAGATAGAACCCTAAGGAAATTTGGGTTTACTTGCAAAGGGGAAAGTTTCAGTTTATTAAAAACGTAACTAAAGAAGGGGTGTAGAGGGAACCTAACGAGATTTAATTAAAGATTGGAAAACAAGACCTCGCCAAGAAGAAGGCTAGCACCAGTCCTGATATTTACATCTTTGGGGCAAGCCCTAATTTGAATGTCATCAGGAAGGTTGAGTCTCATGCGAAGAACACTTAAATCTATAGTCATGGCGAAAACTGAAGAAGAACAGTAAATCCCTAAAGGAGGTGAAAGAAGCAAAACTAACCTTGAAAGATTGAACACCACGAAGAGCACTGCAAGATCACCAGAAAAAGAAGCTTTTGCAAGAGTTTGTCGGAGGAGATTTAACTCAAAAGAGACAGACAAGGATTTGAATTACAGTGAAGTAAGATAGGGACGGTAAAGAGGATTGATGGAACATCCCTAAGGCTTATAAAGACAAAGTGGGCCTGAAGGCCGAGGAGTCAGGAAAGCGAGGAGTTTTTTGAATCTCGAAGCACCAACTCCCAAATCCAACCGTTCATTCTTCCATGCGATCTTCTCGAGCCGTCAAGCCATGATTAGCAGTCTCTAATAATTACCCCCTAATTTATTAGGGAGTAATTATGGGGGCAGTTGAGGATACAATAAGTAATATGGGCTGGTTATGATCCGCGAACGTGGCATCGGGGCAAACAATTGAATTCAGCCCATACAGGAGCACCACAGAATGGGCCGAGCTCAGAGGATCCATCAAAAAAGGCCAAGCCCACTGAAAAGAAGGCCCAAAGTTGATAGTCGAGCAGCACTTGTAATTGTCTATAAATAGGCGATGAAGGGAGTAAAGAGGGGGGAGAATATTGTGAAATGTACTGAAATTCTGTCAAAATGGAGGGAGAGATTTTCTTGCATTTACAACCATCTTCAACGCTCACTGACTAAACCAACTGCGCGATGCATTGCAGAAGAATGGGAATTACCTTCTAATTGTCCTTCGGCCTCCAGCTAAACCACCAGATCATCTTTCTTGAGGAGCTATGCTTCAATGGCTACTACCGGATTGAGGAACTCTGTTCCAGCGGAATGCTAATGTTGTTTGTTGCCTGGTTTGGCCTTCAACATGGTCTCCTAAATATGGGTTTGTTCATGGTTGTTGGGTTGGGCAATACTTTGTCATGTTTTCATGGTCACTTGGACTGACTATATCCCTTTTGGGCTGTAATTATTGTTTATATATATATATATATATATTGAAATTTACCTTTCAAAAAAAAAAAAAATGCTTGAAATTATTATTAATTCTTGAGTACTTTGGGTTTCTATTTATAATACCTTAGCTCTTTTGTTTTTTAACCCAAACAACGACAACAAACAAGGTAATATAACAATCTAAAAATATCACGAGAAAGGAGGATTTTCAAATAAATTTTGGAAAAGTGTAATGGACTGTAAATATTATCCTGAAATACTTAGAACCCATAATTGTTTTACAATTTTGTGATATGCTAGTATTATCAACAACATAAAAATATTTAGGGTAAAATACAACCACACCCCCTTAAGTTTGGCAAAAGGATATTCAAATGAAACTTATCTGTTTTTTGGACAAAGATACCCTGAAGGTTTAAAAATGGACAAAGATATCCCTTTACATGAGAAATTGATCAAATTACCCTTTGACCGTTTATGAGACTTTTTTAACTTTACAATTTAATAAATTAGACCAATCTATCCTCATGAACAATTTATGCATTAAAAAATAATAATAACAAAAAAAAAACCCTTATATTGTTCAACATTTTTTTTTTTTTTTTTTTTTTTGTAATTTACTTTATAAATGTCCCAACTTCTTAAAAATGTAGACGTCTAAAATGATTTTTTGATCCGATACATATATTTCAAATAAATTATATTTTGTTATTACTTCTTTTCTTTTTTTGTTTTTTTTTTTTTTTAATTAAGATACTTAATTCTTTCATTTAAAAAAATTAAATCAATCTTTTTTCCTTAAAAATAAAAAATATGGTACCAGTATAACTTTATGCATCTTAAATTAATATTATGCATTTCTCCACATAAAAGGGAAAAAAATAATAATAAAATAAAGGGAAAAATAATAATAAAACAAAGAGGGAAAAAAAAAAAAAAAAAAAAAACAAAGGCATGCATAAAGTTATACTGGAACTTATTTTCTTTTATGTTGGGAAATACATAATATTTGATATATAATTTAGGATGCATAAAGTTATACTGGTACCATATTTTTTATTTTTAAGGAAAAGAGATTGGTTTAATTTTTTTTAGATGAAAGAATTAAATATCTTAATTTAAAAATAAAAAAATAAAGAAAAGAAGTAATAACAAAATAATAATTTATTTAAAATATATGTATTAAATGAAAATATCATTTTAGACGTCTACATTTTTAAGAAGTTAGGACATTTATAAAGTAAATAACAAAAAAAAAAAAATGAACAATATAAAGTTTTTTTTTTTACTTTTTTTTATGCATAAATTATTTATGAGGGTAGATTGGTCCAATTCATTAAATTGTAAAGTTAAAAAAGTCTCCTAAACGGTTAAAGGGTAATTTGGTCAATTTTTTCATGTAAAGGGGTGTCTTTGTCCATTTTTGAATCTTCAGGGAGTGTCTTTATCCAAAAAACAGATACGTTTCTTATGAGTGTTCTTTTATCAAACCTTAGGGGGTGTGGTTGTACTTTACCCAAATATTTAATTGTACTTGTAACTCAAAAGGATTAATGGTGTTTATGTAAACTTTCAATTTTCAAAGTGAAAGATTGATGATTCAAGTTCACTCATGTGCACTGGCAGAGCCAAGATTCTAGTGTAGGGCGGGGCCAAAAAAAATTAGCATGGAGTATGTAAAAAAATTTAAAGGAGCTGATTGGTTAAAAAAAAAATACATCAATTTAATATTAATTTATATACTTTATTTATATGTATATGCACAAATATATATATATATATATATATATATATATAATATATGTATTGTATAAACGTATGTATATTATTGTATTTGTATATTATTATGTGTAGGTATGCTCAATGTATACAAGAGGATTAGAAAACCAAAAAGAAAAAATAAGATTAGGAGTTTGAAGAATGAAAAACGTAATTAATTTTTTTAATTAAAAAAATAGAGAAATAGGTGAAAGATGATTAGGAAAGAATAGAGATAATGAACTTGCATATTTCATCTTTAGTATCTTTTCTAATCATTGAACTATAATGCAAGAATTCATAAGAGCTTGTTACTTACCAGTGTTTGTCGCTAGTGGCATACCAAATTTATGTTTTGTTATGTAATTTTGAATTGTGTTACATATATTATATATTGTATCATATTATATTGAACTAATATTATACTAAGTTAATATTTTATTACTATTAGGTTGAACTTAAAATAAAATAACTAAATGTTGGATATAATTGGATTGGATTAGTATTATATTATAAAAGAGATGATTTTAATTACTATTGGGTTGGGCTTAAAATGAATTTAATTGTGAGTTTGATGCACGAGCGTGTGTGTGGGTGCATATGTGTGTATATATATACTAATTTGCTATAATATTTGGGCTTTAAAATTAGTATTGGGCTTAAAGTTGCTAAAGGCCCATTGAAAATTTTTATTTTTGGGGGGTAAGTATGGACTTTACATATGGAGTACATTTGTATTGTTGGGTCATATAGTAATAGGTATTCTCAAAAAATTTGGAGGCCTCCGCCCTTCACGTGTGTTCTTTGTCAAGAATATAAATCTACGAGAGACTCTATGAATGTGAATAATTCAAACAGTTGGAAGTGTGTTATTTGTCAAGAACAAAAATAAAAATAAATAAATATTGAAAATTTCTCATTTTTCAAAATGCAAAAATTGAGACTTAAAAGTCCCAATCAGAATAAGTGATTATGTGTGCCTTTTTTGGTTCTAATAAACAAACAAATAAACAATAAAATAAAATAAAAACCAATAATACGACAGGCCTAACAATGGGCGTGTTCTACAAAAGGGACAAACTGCAGTTCCTCTGCATCTTCCCCAGCCCTATTGTGACTTTTTTTTTGGTCAGAAACACAAACAATTAGTTTTTTTAAGAATAATACAATGCTAATAAAATTAACAGATTTTTTTTTTTTTAGAATAATACAATGTTAATAAAATTACAATGTTTTTATGACACGTACCATGATCTTTTTATATATAACTTGGTTTTTAATTTGTTGCAAGAGAGACATAAATTGTTAATCAAATTCAACCGGTCCATATCTTACCTACCTCAGAATTCTTTCAAGCCGCACACATATGCAAGCTAGCTTTCACAACCGTTGACTCAGGTTGATTTGACTTTGAACCACTACTCGTAGGTATAGACCACAAGTCCCACTTGACAATACATTCAGTCTCTGCGGCATTAGAAAGTTTTCACACTCCATGAAATTGATCTACTTAATATTATATGGCTATATATATAGGTGTTATATATATATATATATATATATATTAGTTTTGCAGTGCCAAAACAAGAAGAAAGAGAGTGAGAAAAATGGGAGGAATATTATTGAGGGTGGGAATATTGTTTACGGTGGTAATAGTAGTTGGTGTTTGGGAGGTCGGAATGGCAAATGGTGAGATGAGTCCGAGCCAGTGTAAGGAGGAGAGGCGGCTGCTGACTAACGCATGCAAACCGGTTATATTTGGGCAGAATCCGTCCCGGAATTGTTGCCAGCGAGTTAGGGTTACCCATTTTGAGTGTGTGTGCCCCTTCGTTACCCCTAAGGTAGCAGCCCTCATCGGATCCGTCAAACGTTTCGTTAAGAAAATTGAAGGTTGTGGGAGAACTCTCCCTCACAACTTCAAGTGTGGCAGTAAGCTCTCTCTCTCTTCCTCTCTTTCTCTCTCTATAGATACGTATAATTGTATGTATATTCTTGGACATGCTTGATGCATGTATTATCTATGGCTCATATATTTGATAATTACTAATTAGATATATACTACTTTTTTGATTGATGCAGGTATCACTATTCCGTGAGCTAGAAGGGGAGAGTTCCCTATCAGCTGGACTATATGATATTCTTATTGAATATATATATATATATATATATATATATATATATATATATGGTTAAGTACTCATGTTTATGAGTTATGTACCAATATGTATGATTGTGTTTGAGAAAGAGACAGAGAATGCGTCTTGCACTTATGTTGAATGCAGTTAATATAAATTTTGTAACATTTTCTGATTTTTTTTGATAGTCGTCAATTAAAAGGAACCATTTTTGTAATTTTTGTTATAGCTATTGCAGCCGCTGAAGCAGCTATTGGACTGGCTATTGTTTCGTCAATTTATCGTAATTGAAAATCAACTTGTATCAACCAATCGAATTTGTTGAATAAGTAAAGGTAGTATTAATTATATAAATTTTAATAATCGTTGATTAATTTAGCATGTTTGCTAAGTAAGGTATAATCATGCTTACAAAAAGGTAGGAAATTAAAGTATCTTGGTATTCTCTTTCATAAGTCAATCCAGAAGTAAACTAATTAAAAAAATTCTGATAAATCATTGATCCGTCTGGTATCGAAATATATGATTTGTTTATAAGTTTACTAGATCGAAATTTTGTGAATTTCTCAACGAGACATAAGAAATGAGAGTTGATTTCTCTGGTGTTATTGTTATAAAACCTGTTTGATATGGAGTTTAGCATTCTGATAATGTGACAACGCGCGCAATGAAAAATTTATATATGAAATGCTTAGATTTTAGTACTACTCCGATATGAAATGCACCAGATCGACGATGAGCTCTTTTGGTTGAATTCTTCAAATAAGAATATATATATATATCTTGGTCCAAGTTCTGATAATCATGAGACGCATGCTAAAATATTTAGGGTCATCGGCTAGTCTTTACTTGGAGCCCGCTTTGTCACGCCAGACAATGACCTCTTGTGATTAAATTCTCTCCAAATAATTAAGAATATATATATATATATACTCCGTATATCCTAGTGGAGGTTCTAGTCATTATGAGATGGATGTTAAAATGTTCAAAGTGATCCAGCTAGTCTTTAGTGCCAAACATCAAATCAGGAAGTGTAACACGACCATTTGTTGCTTCCTGAGGATAATGATATTTTCTCCTTGCCATTGAATATATATATCGCGGAATTGAATGATGAGAAATATATATATATATATATATATATTGATACTTTCTCCTTGCCATTGAATATATATATCGCGGAATTGAATGATGAGAAATATTTTATATATATATATATATATGCAGGTGCTCTGTACGTGTAAGTAATCACAGTTGTCCCTACTGTAGCAGAGGATATCCACATTATAGTTAAATTTGTAGTTAATTAATAGGAAACTCCAAGAGTTCAGAACATCAGATTGAAACCTAAACGGATAAACCAGCAGCCAAAAATGTTCAACAGCTTGCAAATGAAAAAGACTTGATCGAGCAGGGAAAATGGAGTTTGGAAGCTTCCATTCAGCTTGAATCCATCTATTTTGTTGAGAAAACTGTGACTCGATCTGTGAAGTTCAGCTAGTTTGGTTCATGGAGGCAAAATCTCTGAAATGAGCCAAAAAGAAATAAGCTATATATATATATATATATATATGTATGTATATTTCCCCCTTATAAGCTACATATAATTAGACAGCTTAAAAGATAGAAAGATACTTGAATACATTGCTTCTTTTATAAATTTCATTCTTTTCTATTCTTAAAGAACATATATGGCACACGACCACAAACCAAACCTAATGATCTTCCAGATCGAGAAGAGGTTGGGCTTGGGGCACCGAGAGCACGATCACACTGGCTCCAAATCTGTTCACTCTCACCAGAGAAATTCAGTTTCTTTTGTCTCCACATTAATCAAAATTTATGGTACTAAGTACTTCAATGAAGAGGAGTGACAAAAAAAAAAAAAATCAGTTGATTTATATATGTAATTGTAAAATGATACCTAAATAGAAAACTCCCACTGATCACTTTGCATCTTAAGGATTTGTGTGAAGAGACCATTGTGAATGGATACCACCACTTTACATCTTATGAATGCAAAACCTTTTGGAGATCTCTTGGGCTCCATTGCTCCAATAATTATTGAATTTCTTCACTTTGCATCTTTATAATGATCGTATTAATATACATGTTAAAATACATTTACAAGGGTAACTGTAGCATTTGTTCACGAAATTTGGGAGTAAAAGTGACATATTCATTTCCCATATTGCTAGAATTCAAACCAATTCCAAATTAAACATGTAAATTGTATAAAAGTTGGTAGCTATAGAATATTAGAAACATGTGTTCTAAGAGGTCTCACTTTCGAATCGCCACTCCTGACTTGAATGGTGCACATGTTGTGAAGACATTACACGTTGCTCTAAGAGAAAATATATATATGTATATATAGAAAGTTAGAAATAATATTTTCCAAAATAATAATAATAATAATATAATAAAAAATTCCCATCTTTCCTTTTAGGAATGTTGGATATTAGTTGTTCTATTTAAAAAATCAAATAAAAACAATCTTATATTTGTATAATTATCCTTTAACATTTTTAAAATTTCAAAACCAAATAAATATACTCCATCCATCTAAAAAAATATATATATTTTTTGAATCTAAAAAAAGGATGATTTTTAGTATTTTTTTGCAGGAAGAGATTTTGGCACTCCGTTCACATTCCAAATTAATTAAAAGAAAATGACTCATCTATCCCTAACTTCGCAAGTGAATTTTAAATTACATAATTAGCCTTTCAAATATGATTGGTCTCTCGTCTCTCTCCATTCTCCAATCTTTAATATTTTCTATCTATTTTGATAGCCCAATCTAAAGAAAAGTTATAAATAAATTATCAAATTTTATAGGAATCCAAAATATATATATATATAAAAATTCTGGAGACAACTGGTTATGTTATGGGGTCTCGAACTTGCTAAGTTCTCTTCTTTATATACGGTGTGCCTTGGATCCAAAGTCGGATAGTAATTTTTCGGTAAGGCTAGGAATACTGGATAGATTTCGACTATTGAATAAAGTTGGAGTCTGTGAAAAAAAATAATAATAAATAAATAAAATAAAGTTGGAGTCTTGGGGATGATTTTTTCCTGTTCTTCGGTTAATTTACTTGATTGGCTAGTTTAATGTATTTTTTGAAAATCACCGCATTTTCAGTTCTCGAAGTTGGTCCACCTAATGGTTAAAAAAAGGTATAAAAAAATGTTAAGGTTTATAGTATAATAGCATCTCTAACGGTCTATTAAAATAACATTTTGTGTAAAATATACATTGTCATTTATGATGTGTAAATTTTTTTCATCTCTAACAATCTGTTAAGATACATTGTTACATCACTAATGTGTAAAAAGGTTCTGTAAAATACACAACCTTTTTATACTTTCAGATCAACATATTTCATTTCTGATCCCTCTTTCTCGTTCCATTAAAAAATCAATCATAGGTTTGTAAAAGTTATGTGGAGTCCTGGTATGACACATGATTGATTGTTATTGGGAGATATATTTTTACACAAAAGGTATAAAACAACCTTTAGAACTAAAATTAAATAATTTAAATTTTTTGTGTAAATTCATCATAATACATCATATTTATACAAAAAAATATACATAACAGTTGGAGATACTCTAACGGGTAGTTATGATATTTTTAAAATGAAAGATGATACATTAATGAGTTTAAATACTTTTTTGTCATTTTATTTTTTCTTTAAAAAAGGCAAGTGAAGTGCAAGTGTAGAAAAGTCAACTAGCCTACTTTATTTTATTTTATTAATATTGTATTAGTAATAAATTAATTACCAAATCTATTGGTAGTGGTCCACATAAAACATTTATTTTGGGACATCCAAAAATGAAAATGTACACTTGTTTTGTAACAAGGGACACATATACTCTTCATAATCCATGTCTCTCGTGCTCTCTCCAAATTAAATCTAAGGGTTAATATTAATACACGGAGGATTCACTAACCTACACTACACCTTTTTGGGACCAAACGACTTTAAACTACTTCACTTCTCTCTCCTGCTCGCCTCCTCGGCATTGTCCATTCCCACAACAACCGTCTAATGGCACCGTTGACCCAATTGCTTTACCTCTCCGGCAATGACAAGGAAATTAGGGTATGAAAGTTTACGTTAACGTTTGTTTTAATATTATCCTTTAGATTTAGTTTAGAGAAAGGAGGAGAAAGATGACTTATGAAGAGGATCCTTGACTTGTAACAAGGAAAACATATTTAAACTTAAACATGATGAGTTGGTAATTTTAAAAGGAAATAATACATTAATTTCATGTCTTTAATAGCAAAGGTTAACATTTTATGGGAGAAAGGGAATGCATCTCCATCAAACGCAGCCCAATGTGATGGGCTAGTCGGGCCTTATCCAGCCCTTCGTTCAAATTGGGCTTATATGAGAAAAGTATTGAGTTATTTTGAATTCAACCCAGAAAGCCCAATTCGGCCCTTGGACATTATTAAGAACCTCGGTTGGAAAAATTCAATTATAGCCCTGATCAAATCATAAAATAAGAATGACACCTTCTCCTCCTTCGTTGATCACCGACCTACCTTCCAATCTGTGCCCTTAAATTGCTTGTGTCTGAAAAGGAAAGAAACTAAAAACCAGACATAACTCAATCAGCTCCAAAAACTTCTATAAACTATAATACACATATACATATGTGTATGTATATTAGAGAGAGAAAGTAAAGAGTTGAAGACAGAGAGAGTGAGAGATGGAGCATGAGGAGCAAGAGCACGAGGTGTACGGAGCAGATATACCCGATGAAGGAGAGATGGACGCCGATGTCGACATGTCTAGGGTTGAAGAGGAGAGCCCTAACTCCAAAGTCGCTCTCTCACTTTCTCTCTCTAATTTCTCTCTCTAATTTCTCTCTCTGTGTCTATGCTGAGCCCTAATTTGATGGTTTGATGTCGAACAGGATTTGGAGGACATGAAGAAGAGACTTAAGGAGATTGAGGATGAAGCAGGTGCCCTTCGCGAAATGCAGGCTAAAGTCGAGAAGGAGATGGGAGCTGTTGAAGGTCTCACTCTTTCTCCCTCTCTGTATTATCTTTAGTTGTCTCTCTATATCTGAGTTGGTTTCTGTTTTTGTTATATGATTGTGGTTATGTTTAAGTTGTTCGGGAAAAAGATTGAAACTTTATTGTAAGAAAAAAATGAAATTGTGGTGCAAGGAGGTAATGGACACTATGCCTGAAATTTTTTTAAAAAAGCTTATTCGATTAATGTACAATTTTAAAAAAGGGTGCTATTACGAGTGGTCTAACTGTTCAATTGTTTTAATTACAAAGGTTGGATCAGATGTTCAATTTAAATTACTTTCTGTTCTTTGAGCTTCATCAGTGTGAGTTTGCAGTTCATAGTGTTAGTAGGATTTATGGTTGATGGAAAATCTGTTTTTTTATTTTGTCTACTACCTACTGATATTGCTATCTATTCTTATTGAATGTATAGGCTAATGGTATATTAAGGTTGCACAAAAAAGAAAAAGTACTCCAGTAACATATTTATAATCTTACTGTCAACTAATACACACACACACACACACACACATATATATATATATGAAAAGTTTCAAAATCAAACCCAAAAATCTAAAGATAAAAAAAAAAAAATTGAACTAACTGTGTTAGAGTTCTGAATCTACTGTAGATAATACAAAAAGTCTTATCGAAATTGTATTCTATCTAAAGCCAAAAATCTGTGAAAAGTTCAAAAGAGTTCACAATCAACACATCAAGGGGTTGCTTTGAGAATTTTTTTCATTTTGATAAGTAAAGATAACCATCAGTAGAAGTCAAAAAGGGAGGACGCTTCCCTAGCTCAAACGCAGGAACATGATGTCTACAAAAACTACCTAAACCAATAAAAAAGCAGTGATCATATCATGTATGCAGAAAACATTTGTAGCATGCTACTTAAAGGCTTATGATTTCATTCTCTAATGTTTTGTTCGGTAGGAAGGAAGGAAGGAAGAGGTGTGGAGGGAAGATATGAAAGAAGAAATAAACTTCCTTCATTCGGTAGAGAGGAGACAAGGAGAGAAAGGACAATCGGACGGATGAGTCGTCTTTCCTCCTTTACAAATTTTCCTCCCTCCAAATATGGGCAGAAGAAAAGAGGGAAGACAAGTGGAGCTATTATAGAAATTTTAAATTACTACTATCCTAAATCATACAAGTTTTAAATTATAATACTATCCTCTATAAATTACAATATTATAGATAGTGATGGGTATAAGGGTAAAAACAATTTAAAACTCTCTCTTCCCTTCTCTGTTAACGAACATAGTAAATTGTGAGCTTATTCTTTTCTCTTCCATCCAACCGAACAAAAAGAGGGAATGACACAAATCTCTTTTCTTGGGATGTCTCATCCATCCATTCTTCTACACCTTCCATCCAAATTCCTTCTTTCCTACCAAATGAAGCATAAGTCCTAAAATCCACAAAATTCATAAACTGGATACTTAACTGAAGGAGATGTAAAACATAATGCCGTGTTAATGACGGTTAGTTTCCTGGTCTTACCATGTATATGTTCACAGATTTGGTAACATGTGTCATTTTTTGGTCTATGTGAGTATGTCGAGGTGTTGTTTCATTTTAGCATGGGTACATGGTAGGGTAAAGGAAAGTGTTTTATCTGGCATATAATTTCCCTTATGAGTAGGGCTATCAAAGTTTTTTCCGGTTTGTTCATTAATAAAATAAAATAAAAAAAAGCTGATTTTGAATGTTTTAAAGCGGCAGCGGTTGCGGCCGCAGCGCATTTCTAAACGAGTTAAGTAACCACTAATTTGGCTTGGCCATGCTCTTGAAGATAGGGGGAATGCCTATAGGTGGTGAATAATCTGCTAAGGCTATCATATATAGATACAATGGACAAATAAGGAAAGGGAACTTACAAAAAATAAAATAATGAAAAAAAATACAAAAAGGGATGAGAAGGAATACAATTTTAATGTAAGCCAATCAAATGCTGAGACGTTTCCGAATCACATGAGTTTATTAGCTGTTAGTCACTATCTTTCGTATTCATAGAAAGGGTTTCCTTTCCTTGGATTCTTCGTGTATCCTCATCGTACCTTCTCAGTTTTAGTCTTTGCCCTCTAGTCTCCTTATTGTCATCTCATAAATCAATTGGCTTCAGAATTTGATCTTTGTGACGACAAATCCTTCAATTTCTTTCTTTGATCTGCTCCCATCGATAGTTAGAAGACTAAAAATACTCTAGGATAATGAGTGCACAAAGGGGATTGGGTTTGAAGGCTCACCGTTCTTCATGGTCCAATTCAAATTCCAAGGGTATGCTAGATCTTTTTCTTTTTTATTTTTCTTTCTTGTTTTATCATCTTGCATGCTGATTACAACTGTTTATTTTCTCTAGCTATACATGGGCACAATTGACTTGGGTTTTCTTTCTTTCCTTTAAAAATTTAAAAAATAAAAGAAAATCATATTAAAGGAAGGAGAAAGAGCTAGGGCTTTCTATCTGATTTATTGAAGAAAGATGAAAATTTTTGTGGTTAGTCAAAACGTTTAAGCATAACGAAGCCGAGTGTAAGTATTTGATGAATTTGAGCAAGATTGAATATGATCAAGTTTATCTAGCTCGAACACAATCTTAGTACGGCCATACTGATTTTGAACACAACTGTAGTCAGTTTCTCAGTTCATTTGCTGTTATTGTATCTGAGTAGTTAATTCATCTCACACTTAAATATAATAGTATTTAAGGAAATTTATTAAATTGCGAGTATCTTTTTTGCCTTTTGGGAGCAATGTTGGACATATACTTTTTCTCACACTCATGTTTTCAGTCGTCAATCTCACAAGTATCTCATACGCAATCTATCTTAAAAGGGCTAGATATGGGTTGAAACACTTAAAAAGGGTACATGAATACCGTAAAAAATATCAGATTCATAATAATATGACAAGAAGAACATGTAAAAGAGAACTAGAAAAGGTAAATAGGAGAAATTGAGGGAACTTGTTGAGAGGAAGGTTTCTAACTAAGCCTCTTGATTCTAGAGAATAGTGGAATTGGATATTAAAGTTGTTCTCCAACACATGCATCAAAGATTATAGAAAAGGAGGAAATAATAAGAAGGGCATCAACCAATTGATACAGCTTGATAGGATCAAAGGGAGATGGTAGATTGATATCTCCCAATCAAGGAAAAACCTGTTGACAAATAAGCCAATACAACACAATGTTGGTGGCAATAAATGACTGATGAGACAACGCCAAATTCAATAATGGAAGCTATGATTTTACTACCATTTGTTGCCTCTTTTAGTCACCAGTGATAAGCCTAAACTGCCAGCAATTATTCACCAATCCTCCCGCATATAAATAAATTTTACTCAATACCTCCCGCAACTTCTTTTATAAGATAGATAAAGCTTGGGAGAAGAAAATTTCCATTAATATCCCTTTCTATTTTCTCTTCTTTTGGATGTGAACACCATCTCCTTTCAGCTGTAATATTTTTTTTAAGCAATGTTAGTGCAATCAATATATATATATATGGTTTTTCTTTTTTTGGTATAAAGTCAGTGTATTAAATATAGTAGTACACTTTAACAATCTTCTGAGTAGATTGAAACCCTATTTTAAATAATTTAATTGGGTCTTTGAGGGGAGCTCACCCATTCGAATTTTTTTCTTGACTTTCAAGGAACGGGTTACTGAACCACAACCCTAAAAGTAAATCATAGTTTAGATGTTATAGCCACTATGTGACAACTCAATTGAAATGTCAATTCCCTTTCTTTTCTTTATAAGGCTACATGCTTCAACTTGAAGAGTAAAAAAATGTCCTAATAGTATGCTCCATAATTATTTTGAAATATGTTTGAAGGAAACATGCTTCATCTTTTCTTTTCCTCTGGTTTTCTTCAAATTTTTTTTTTCCCTGAAACCTAGAAAGATTAGTTTGGGGTTTGTCCGAAAGTGTCAGAATTTTGTTACTATACAAAGGGGGAACATATATATACTTATATGCATGTACGTATTTCTATGTAATTTATACTTGAAATTTTAATACCTCAAACGCCTACGTGGTTCTTGCTTTTGAGATGTGGCTTAAGTATTTGACATAGGAATGGAAATATTAAATGGACCCCACAAAAGGTGCTTTAATTCTGCCCCTTCTTTTCCATTATAGAAAAAATATCTACATAGTATGAGTCTATGACATTGAAATGGTTGATAGAATTTGGCCCTTTTGGAAGAAGTTGGAGTAATTCTTGAAGAAGGTTCATGGTATTCTGTCTGATGATTTTTTCTACCCCTTAAATTGTAGTATCTTTTGGGTTCTCCCGTACAAATTAGTATGTCTGATGATTTATTTCATGTTAAAGTCTATATTATTCAGTAGTTAGTGGAATGTCTTAAGTTATTAAGCCTTTACTGCCAACAATGACTTGGAACTTATGCATAAAATTATAAATCGTTACTTGTATAGAAGCATATTTAAACAATTGACAAAATTCATTAAAATTTATTAAAAACTCATATTTGTTGGATTTTGTAGTAAAATTTTGCATTCCATGCATTTCGGTCCATATATTTGAGGTTAAAAAAATTTGCAACCACAACGCTCGATTACGGTATGTTAAAGCCCGATATGGCCCCACATCCGCCTCTGTGTCTACAAACCATGGTTCGAACTGAGCTCACACATGCTTATGGTGGTTATGCTAGTTGATTATCAGAAAATGTCAAACACTTGGCATCCTTAAAATATTTTTTTAGTTCTGCATTCAAATATTTGTCGATGTGTATACATAAAATATACATTTTCCATAGAAAAAACTGGTAGGATGTTATGTAACATTTATAGACAGTGGAAGACGGCTTTTTAAAAGTGTTCCTTCTGTGTGGATGCTGGACAGATGGTTGTCCCTTACCAATTTGGTCCTTTATTAGAGGTTGATGAATTGATTCATGTTCTTATTGAATTAGTGGTTCAACTTGTGTGAAATGTGACCCATTCATATATGTTAAAGGAAATATTATGTATGTTTTCTTCTCTTGTCAGTTCAGTATTTGCAAAGTTGTACTGCTTGTGTTCACAGCATCTTTATTTTAAATTAAATAGCTTTTATTTTTTCTTATGGCATGTAAGAAGATTCCTCCAGTGGGTCTGCTACTCAAGCAGAGAAGGAGGAGGTGGACTCAAGATCAATTTACGTTGGTAATGTGAGGTTCTCAGTCCCTTCTCCTATAATAGTTAATATTGGTTCTTTTACTTAAATTTATATAAATCGAGTTTTCATTCTATTACTCTATGCTCGTTTGATATGCATATTGCAACGCACAAGAATTTAGCTCTGTTCGATTATTGATTGATTAGATGGGATTATAATCAAGAAAAATCTTCTCAATTCCTTGGGAGTTAGTTATGTTAGGTAAGTATGTGGAGAGTGATGTGTAGGCTCAAATGAATAGCTTGTGGCTTAGCTCAGTATTTTGCCTGGCATGTACTATTTTATTTAGCAAATCAAGTGAGCCTGAGCAGGTCCAATCAAGCTTCCCCAGGGTACTTTTTGTCATATAATTCTTAAGTTTCAAACTTCCCTCAAATAAAATATAAGAAGTGTCCACAAAACTTCAGATCTTAGTTCTTGTGACTTTAGAAACAGGCGAAGTTTGGTCTTGTTGACCAAGTACTTAACCATAGTATCTTATGCTGGAGCGAACCCAATGAATCTAGATAGTGTATAATTCAAGTGAGTTGAGCTTGAGCATTCTGATACGGTGGTTGACTTGGATCAGATCATTTGCAGCCTACCGATCTACATGCTTTTAGTATATGTAACTATTTAAAATTAAAATAAATTGCTGTTTTGGAAATAAAGGTTAATCTATTGTTGGTCTGTGTGTTTGTGTTGGTAAAAGAAGGTTAACTTTTTTCCAATCAAAATTTGGAACTATTCTGTCAATTGAATGGCTTTGCTTATGTTATACCAAGGATCTATGTCTAAATGTGATCAAGAAACTTACATATGAGGAATATGGTTAGATGGAATTAGTGGAGTTTGTTATTTGCAAGTTACATTTGGTGTGGATGGTGTGCAATCTATATGGTAGGTAGTATTAATTCATTTTTAATCTACTCCAATATTGAAACCTTGTTATAATACATATTTTATGGTTCTCAAGTCATTTAAACTTCTCTTCTGTGGGTGGTGAACATCGTGTAGAAGTGAATAATCATTTTGCTCTTTATTCTGTTTTGAAATTCAGGTAGACTATGCGTGCACTCCCGAGGAAGTCCAGCAGCACTTCCAATCATGTGGAACGGTCAACCGGGTAACAATTTTGACAGATAAGTTTGGTCAGCCAAAAGGATTTGCTTATGTGGAGTTTGTCGAAATTGATGCCGTTCAGAATGCTCTTCTGTTAAATGAGTCAGAGCTGCATGGTCGTCAGTTGAAGGTCTAGCATCGAACTTACACTGGTTGAAGTTAACAACTTCAACTCTGTGATTTGTCTTATTTGATTGTGGTGTTGGTTTGGTGTTCCGCAGGTATCTGCCAAGCGAACTAATGTTCCTGGAATGAAACAATATCGAGGCAGGCGTCCTAACCCTATTTTCGGTTTTCGATCTAGAAGGCCCTTCATGCCTGGCCCACCTCTCTATCCTCCATATAGTTATGGGTAAGCATTAGGACTATTTTATGCTGTTTTATTGCTTGGAAAACTAATGAAAAGACGCGGAAGGCTGAATGGGTTGGGTTGGAGTGATAATTATATAAAATTCCAGTTTCCTTTCCTTTTCTCCAACGCATTGGCATTTCTTCTTCTTCTTCTGTTTTTTTTTTTTTTTTTTTTTTCCCTAGCATATTGGCACTTCAAAGAAGCACAAGCAGTGCATCCATTTGAGAAGTCTGGTCTGGGACTTGCAATACTCTCCTACCAATAGAGCATATTTATAATGGTTCTGTGATCTCTTTTAGTCGTAATTTTATTAGATGATATTTGATGAGTTGAACTTCATTAGAAAGAATGACAAAGGGAGTGCACACATGTGCAGTTGTACAGAGAATCTATACACCAGTAGCTTTACAACAACTGTACTCTTATGTATCTCAAAATCCTGCAGTGGAATCAATAAAGAGGAAAGAACACTATGCGATCCATTGAAAGAGTAATTTATCCTTATTTTCAAGTGCGCCAGATAGCTTTCAGCCGAACCTTGCTGACCCCCTCTCCTCATCACCCGGTAGAAAGATCCCACCTCTAAGGAATCTTCCTTGACCATTTCCACCTCATATTGTCATGCTCTCCCATAACAATGCACCAGATCATTTGAGAAGCCAAAGCATCTCGTGTAGATATTTTTTCTGGATTAATTCATTATATCAATCACATTGAGGGGAAGTTCTTAGAACTTGGCGTGGAGAACAAAGGGCATTCTTTCTTCTTGATAATAGCTGAAGAACTGTCATAATAGATAAGGTGATGATCTATGAATTTTGTTGTACTATAATATGAGTTTACCTTGCCAGAACCGTTAAATATTAAGAAACTGAATATTTATTATCTGAGATGCTTTAAAACAGGATGTAATATGAATATAAACAAGGAATAAACAGTCGTTTTGATCCTTTCCTTCTATCTTTTGTCATGATAATCGTTTTTATATTGTTCCAAGATTATTGGACGTCCTTGAAGGGACCTTTTCTTTTACTTTTGAGTGAGATGAAATCTAGATCAATTTCATAGAACAAATTATCTCAATCCAAATCAGGATGTGAGCTGGTCTTGAGCTTGAAGAAATGGAGATGGTTCTTGTTGGTCCTTTATAGTTTGCTATGACACACAAAAGTAATTTTTTGTCTATATTTGCAAAATTAGGGACACACAAAAGTAATTTTTGCCTATATTTGCAAAATTAGGGATCACAATGGAGTGGGTAATCTGTTTTACCCTAGGGTTACCCATTGCAAATTCAATTTCTTTGTGTGCTCCCCCCACCCCCTTTTCTTTTCTTTTTTTAATCATTGTGCAATGACTAGCTTGGTCATTGCTTCTAATTTTCCTTGAGGGTAGAGGGAAATGAGTTTTGTTTCTGCATTAATTACGTTATTTGCAGTTGAAGTTCAATGTGATAAAAGCGTATTAATTTGTAACTTGTTTCTCTTGTGCAGAAGGGTTCCAAGGTTCAGACGGCCAATGCGGTACAGACCATACTGATGATGAGCAAATGGCTATAGTGCTGTACTACAGATCAATGATCATGTTATGCCGGTGGCCCCAATGGTGAAGCAGCAGTTGCCATGTTGGTTGTAACGGTCGTATCTATCTTTCTGTAATATGGATAGAGTTTCATTTTACTTGGTAGTTGTACTATCATTTGCATGCCAGTAAGGCTAACTTAATTTTCAATTCCCCATTTATTACCCACAAAGGAGAATTTTTTCTTTAGTTGCTTGCATTTACCTGCTTTGGGGGAAAAAAGGGAGACTGTAGTCAAAATTATTCTAAGAAATTGTTAATTTGGATTTTTTCTTATTTAATAAATTTGCAGACATTGGTGATTTTAAGTTTATCGATTGCGAAGCAATCCAAATTTTGTTGAAAAACAGTCTGTGATCATGAAAATATTGTCTAAGATCACTTATCTCCAGTCTTCTCTTTTGTGCTTCCTGCTGATTCTGCTGGGGCGGGATGATCTTCTAATAGACCATGAAAATCACTTGTGTTATGAATTTCTGTTCTGACCATGAAGATCGTTTTAATTCTTACACCTACTTTGTTCCTATGTGAACTTGAACCACCGAACTTGGTACTTTGGAAGGCGATGAATGCCCACATGAAGATCACTTGTTATGTGTAGTCATATAGTGATTTATAAAATGGTGTTCTTGTTCTTCTTGTTGTTATTAATGCCAATGTTTAGTAGAATGGAATTGGTGCTACAAATTTTATGCTACGGAAACTGCTAACATGATGAGATACTGTTCTTGGAATCTCTTTTATGGATTATGAACTTGAATACCTTTTTCATATTCTAGGTAATACCTTGATTTTTTACTCTGTTCAAATCGCGTGAGCTGCATGGAATCCGTTAAAACTAGAATGAAAAGAAAACTAGTTAAAATTGAACTAGTTTGATTTTTTATTTTAATTTAAGGATAGAATAGTACTCTTTCCGATTCAAAATAATTGTTCATCTTTTTTATTTTTATTCGTCTCAAAATAAGTGTTCCGTTTAAAATGTGAATGTACTATTTTTTTTTTTTTTTTTTTTTTTGTAATATTACAAATTTAACTTTCTTATACTGAACCTATAATAAATAAATTATTGCATCACTCTGGATCCACTAAGGTTTAAATTGATAATTTATACATTACTAATACAATAAAATAAATAAATAAAAAAGTTAATTTTTTTGGATACTTATTTTGGGATGGAATAAGAAAAAAATATGACATGTAAGAGAAAAAAAAAAAAAAGAGAGAATTCATGTAATTGGACCCGTTTGTTGTTCAAAACCGAACCAAATTGATGAATTTGAATTTTTTTTTTTTTTTAACAGTTTTGTTTAGTTTCTGGTTCTGAAACATGGAATCATTTATAAATATTAAATAGTTTGATTTTGTGAGATGGAAAAATAAAAGCTAACCATGGAACCAAACCACAGTAATTTTTGTGAGAGTGCATCTTATATTGTTAATAAATAAATAAAAAGAAAATTCAAAATCAAAACTAAGGAATAGTAAAGAAGGCAAGTGAATTTATGATAATTACTTAGTTCTGAACTTCTGTGTAGCTTAATGGAAACTTCTAAATTTTTTAAAAGTAGAGGAAGATAGATGATTTAAAAATCAATTATAGCAAAAAGTAGATGTGTGCATTTAAAAAAAGAATTTTTTTTTTTTTTTTTTGGTGATAATTCTCTTACAAAGAAACAGTGAGAATATTCAGGTAACAAAAGAAAAATATAAAAGCGGACGTTTAAACGGACGTATATGTGTTTTTGGAGTGAATATTGGGTACCCCAAGGTTACCCCGTCAGCATGCCAACATGCTATCCCCATCCAATAAAAGCATGACACTTTTCCAACTTTCCACGTCAGCTCTTAACGGAGAAAAAGTTAACTCCGTCTATTTTCTTTTGTTAAAAAAAAAAAAAAAAAAAAAACTTATTTCAAATTTCAAATTTCAAAATAAACATTGAAATCCATTCCACTTTCTCTCTCTCCTCGTTGCCCTAACTAGATCATAACGTGTTTGCTCGAATCTACAATCGAGACCCTAGCGACGGCCGTGACGTATTCTCTTTGACCTCCGGCGTCGAGCTCGACGACCACCGGGATGATCCCCTGCGCCATCGCAATCAACACATTCTTGTCGTCCTCCTGAATCAACCCCAGCAGTGAGTCCAACGCCGAGTTCTTCGACTCGGTGCTCCCAATCTGCAATCGAGTTATCAACTTCCGAGCCTCGACTCGTACGGACTCCTTCTTCAACGTCGACGACGACCTCAGAACGACTCCCAATCTGCAACCGAGTTATCAAGTTCCGAGCCTCGACTCGATCGGACTCCCTCTTCGACGACCTCAGAACGGCGTCGTCGTGTAGCACCCCGCTCTTGATCAAAACGCCGAAGTCTCTGATCTGCCGGTCCAGCTTCACCGAGACCGAATCGACGTCGTTCTGCGTCTTAAGCTTGCCGCCGAGGAGGGTCTAATTTCGACAGGCTTTAGAGAGGGAAAGTGCGTCGGAAAGAGTATCGGAGACAGAATAGAACAGTTCTAGAGAGAGAGTTGGGAGGTGAGTCGGCGAGGTCGGCGAGTTGAGTCTTGAGATCGGCGAGTTGTGTTTTGATCAGAGACCACTTGCCTCTGAAGTTCTGTGTGTTGCATCGAGTCCAGTAATGATTGAAAAAGCTGATTCGAAAGGTCAATGTGTTCATTTTCTGGTTCTTTCATAGCGGATTGCGGTCTAAGAATATTGGGATTTCAACAGATATGTAAACATTGCAGCAGCACCTTTTGTTACCATCTCGCGTGTTTAATTGCAGGATCTGATGATCAGTCTTACACAAATATTTTTTTCTTCCAGATAGCGTTCATATTTATTATTTTTTTTTTTTTTATTTTTTTTTTAACTTTAATTTACGAACATTTATTTTTTTTTTTAATTTCTGAAAATTACTATATATTGACATAATTGATCACTGAAAACATAAGTAAATGCATGTCAGTATTCACATAATTGAGGTTTGCCCACAGTTCATGCGTTTTATTGGTGGGCTTTGGGAAATTTGGATATCATGGGTATTAGCAGCAGGATGGTTTTCTGATGTATAGTTAAGAGGTTGATTGTTTAGTATGATTCTTTGCCGCTGCAGTCGCGTTCTTGCTTGGATAGTATGATTGAGACTATATTTGGTATGCTTATAGGAGAATGGGTCTGTGCTTATCGGTGTTTATATTTTTGCTTGGATAGTATGGTCGTTCTTGGCTTTGGTTCAATGCCAATCTGTTGCGGATTTGCTGCACTCTTCTTCTGTGGTTTATGTTGCCTTGTGCGCTCTCTGAATTTCTATGTGGCTGTGATTTTGCTTTTGATGGAGATGGGCATTTGGTTTGCTTTTGGAGAATGGGTTCTTTGCCCATCTGTTGTTGCTTCATTTTTGGGGTCTATTTGCCTTGTGAATGCATTGCTGGTGTGGGGTGGTGTCTTGTGATAGCCGGGGGTTTTTGAATTGGTTCAATCTCTTTGGGAAGCTTGGATTTATTATGGAATGTGAAGTTTTTTTTTTTTTTCCCTGCACTCTGTGTTTGTGCCTTGCGTAGGCTGTGTTTTACTACTTTATGAATGTATTCTAAAGGTTCTCATAGTGTGTTGTGTTTTGGCAAAGGTATCCTCATTGTTGGTTTCTTTCTTTGCCTTCTATGTTTCTCAGGCGAGGGTATGCCCTCGGATCTCCCCTGTATTATATTATTTCATTTTATATGAGGCTAATCTTGTTTGATTTTCTTAAAATTGTTAGCCCTGATGTTATACTTAAAATAGTTGGATTTTTTTATAAACACAACTAAATTTTGTTGTGATTTAAGTTCTGCAAAACCATAGTGTGTCCCAGATCCTCAATGATTGATATTAATAGAGCATGAGACATTACATTTCTATACTTAACAACACTGTTTACACTAAAAATTTAAGTCCTGCAATTGTAATTAACAACCTATTAACAACCTCCTATTACAAAAATCCTTTCCTCAACAAAAATTAAACAGTGTTGTAGAACTATTTAAGAACCTATAGAATACATCCCTAAAGCAGTAAAACACAACCTACACAAGGCACAAACACAGAGTGCAGAAAACAGAAGAAAAAAAAAAATACTGCATACTCCACAATAAATCCAAGCTTCTCAAATAAATTGAACCAATTCAAAAACCCTCAGCTCTCACAAGACACCACCCAACACTAGCAAAGTGAAACAACAACAGAAGAAGAATGCAACAAATCTGCAACAGAAGTCCTGGTGTTGTACTTAAAATTGTTGGATTTTTTTATAAACACAACTAAATTTTTTTGTGATTTAAGTTGTGCAAAACCATGGTGTGTCCCAAATCCTCAATGATTGATATCAACAGAGCATGAAAACTTAAAAGACATTACATTCCTATACTTAACACTGTTTACACTGAAATTTTAAGTCCTGCTATTATAATTAACAACATGTTTATACTGGAAACAACTTGCTATTACAAAAATCCTCTTCTCAACAACAAATGACATTAACATTCAAAATATCCTCTTCCGGTCTTGGCTGCTCCACAACCTCTGCAAATCACTTGCTTGCATCAAGATCATTCCTATAAGCATGTAACAATAAAATTATGTTACTCATCCAAAAAAATCATATAAGTGATAACAATCATATGTTGAATAATACCTGACTTGTTGCTCGCATTGGAGTGACGTATGAATAACACCAGGATTGAAAATGTTTGTATGTAGTTGTTGCCCAAATGAATGAAGAGTTGGAGCATGAACAGGTGGGAGAGAAAGCACTGGAGCACTGGGCACATTATAAGTGTTGTGTAATGGTTGCCCTGCAAGTCAGAATTAAAATGTATAATTGTACATCTATTGACTTGACAGTAAACTAAAATTGAATAAAGTGTTTTATTACCTTTTTTTTGCCTACGTTTCCTTTTCTCCAAATAGCTTTTTATTCGAGCATTCGTTACTCCTTTTGCTTTCACATGTGAAGGATCCAGCACAATCATTTCCTCTAAATGTCCACCAATCTTCGTGAGATCACTAGAAGTATTGTCATTTTCTTTATTTGGATTGAAGGTTTCCATAAGTTTTTGTGCATCCTCCCACATTAATTGCACATGTTTCTTGGCCAAACTTTTTCCCTCAGCGGTCATAACCAAGTGATTGATAGCGCGATAAGATTGCTGAAGTAAGATGCTTCTTTCTAGAGTCAAAGATGATTTCTTATTTCTAGACGACCCACCAACTTCAAATGGAGGCTGTTTAGATTTCACATACTTTGTCCATCTTTCTAGAATATATTGAGATGGTATATCATGAATATTCCATAAATTGAAAACCTTCAGTGCATGCCGACACAACCACCCAGTAGACTCAAACAACTTACAAGAACACACTACATTAAAATTAGATGAATCAAAATTTATAATGTAATGCTTATCACCTCCCACAAAAGCACGATAAATGAAGATTGTAGAAAGATTTGATAACAACTCCAATTTCACTGCCAAACTAGAAAGCACCTCATCTTCAAATAAGTAATAAATATTATTTGTGTAAACACAAGTTGCTTGTTTCAGCATTTTGGAATCCTTCGCTTTCATTTGTATTATGCCATGCTTACTACGATAATCTTCATTAGCTTCAGCTAACCGCATCTTCTCACATTGTTCTTCATAATGTTGCACAAATTCCATTAAAGTCATAGCTTTAGAGGACATCTTTTGCAAAACATTGTTCATACTCTCACTTCTTTGAGTTGATTTAGCACGGAGAGTGAAAGTGTCAAGACTAAACGCCGGACACCACTTCTCTCTAAGTCCATAAAGTGACTTAAGCCATTTGTTGTCCGCAATGCCAAACTTCGTTATCATTAGACTCCATGTTGATTCAAAATCATCTATTGCTTCAGAATGTAGACACTTCTGAAACAAAGTTTTGAACTCGTAATTTCCATACAAGGTCCCAAGCTTTTGAGTGGCATTTTTTGAAATATGCCATGAACAAAGACGATGACAAGTGTTTGGAAAAACTTTTTTAATGGCATTTGCCATTGCTTGACATTGATCAGTAAATATTGTCTTGGGTGCCTTGTTATCCATCGCCTCTAAAAATTCCTCGAACAACCAAACAAAAGAATCTGTGGTCTCATCTACAAGAAATGCACAACCAAATAAAATATTCTTCCTATGATGATTAACTCCTACGAATGGAGCAAAAATCATATCATATCTGTTTGTTCGATACGTGGTATCAAAAACAACAACATCCCCAAAATAGTCATAGTCTAATCTCGATCTTCCATCTCTCCAAAAAAAATTTGCCAAACGACCTTCTGCATCTAATTCCTCACTGTGAAAGAATATATGGTCTTCAGCTCGACATTGCTTAAAGTGTTTTATTACGCTTTGTGCATCTCCTCTTTGAATCAAACTTTTCTTTTTCTCATTAACAAAATTTTGACAATCTCTTAAAGTGAACCCGACATTTTCAGATCCACCAACTTCTTTCGAAAGATATGAGTAAGCTTTTGTCCCTTTTATACCAGCACCAACCATAGAATTTAGAACACTTGCACTAGCTGAATCTATGTTTCTGCTTATTCTTAAAAACTGTCTTTCTTCTTGATCAACAAAGTTATGGTTGTGTTCATCATTGATATAACTAATTTCCCAAATTCCTTCTGCAATTACAAATTTAATTAGAGCTTTACAACCTGTTCGGGTCACTAGTCTTCTTATTTTTTTCGGATTAAAAGGATCACCATCGCGATATTGTCCTGCATTTGCACATAAGAACTCCCGTTGTTTAATAACTCCACCACTAGTATACCGAAAGTTTCCTTTTCGAACACCAAAACCCTTTCGCAGGGCATACTTACAATATAACTTATATGCTTCATCTTCACTAGAAACCCTCATTCCAATTTTAAGATCATCAATATCATCATCCAAAGATTCCATTTAATAAATTAGGTATGATAACACACCTGTAAACCAAATACATTATAAACCAACGAAAAATAATGTTACAAACAAAATACTTGTACTTTATTTTTTCTTTATTATACACTGATTGTGAATTTGTTAAAATTATATGTCTAGGTTCTTACTGGTGGTTGAGGAGATGTTTCGGATGAGAACAACAATGAGTTTTCTACTCTAGTGTTGTTGAAGTCTCAAAAAGAAGAAGCTGAAAAAGAAAAAAAAAAAGTTGCCTTCTATTCAATTAGAGCCAAAACCGCATTGAACTCTTATACTCTATTCTCTTAATCATTTATGTAAGGATAATAATCCAGAGATTGTCTGTTTAGTGGAGCCAATGGTTGAAGTCACCAAAAGCTATAGATACCAAATGCAAGAACGAAATACAATAGGAACATTTTGGCTATATTAACCTACAGTTACTGAACGAAAACCCAAGTAAAGGTCAAATCCAATGTTCCTAATGACATTATCCGGATTTCGGTTTACACAAGATTCCAATAATTATCAGATAAATTATATATAACTTATTAAATAATGAATATCACAACTGATTCCAATGTGAAACAGAAATTTAACACATATAGAATCATAGATGAATCTAATTGTGAGACTAGATGATGTGGGTTGGTTCCAGTCATTTTGTTGAGATTTGGGCGTAGAGGTTCATTTTGTTTGATTGCAATTTATACAACAATCAACCATTTTAGTATCTATTTGTAGAAGATTATAGGTCGTGTAATCTTTTTGTTATTGTCAAATGATATGAAAAATATAAAACATCATTAAGGGTGGTATTCTATTCAATAAGAAAATGACACATAAAAAAGGGAATTGACTTACCTGTGAACTCCAGAAGATTTATGGAAACTTTAATATTCTTTGGAAGATCTTGGAAGATATAGTACAATTCTGTGATTGACAACCTCTGGTATAAAGAGATAGATGAAGATATAATTTGTTTTTAAAGGAAGTGGGGTTTGGAGATAACATTGTTTCCAAAAAAGGAAAATGAGAAAAGATGTGCAAATTGACACATAAAAAAAGGGAATTGACTTACCTTTGCACTCCAAAAGATCAGTGGAAGCTTTTTTGGAAGATTTTGTACAGTTCGGTGACTAAAGGCTTTTGGTAGAAAGAGACAGATGCAAATATAATTTGGTCTTAAAGAAAGTGAGTTAGAGGTTTGGAGATAATATTGTTTCCAAAAAAAGAAAATGAGAAAAAGATTGCAACAATTTAGGCGGATTATGTGAAAGAAGAATTTGGGTTTCGCGGGATAACAAAATAAATTTTGATGGTGTTTGTGTTTGCTGGAAGTGAAAGGAGACGGAGTTAACTTTTTGATAGTTAACTTTATGTTATGAGCTGACGTGGAAAGTTGGAAAAGTGTCATGCTTTTATTGGATGGGGATAGCATGTTGGCATGCTGACGGGGTAACCTTGGGGTACCCAATATTCTCTCGTGTTTTTGGGGTTGACAGAAGGCTGAGTTCGATTAAACGGACTGTTTCAGATATTCAGGTAACAAAAGAAAAAGAAAAGATAAAAGCGACGATGAAATTGGGCTTTCTGTAACTCGCTCTTGTCATCGCAATTAGGGTTCACCGATGGCTTCTGATCAAGAACCTGATGATTCCGCCAACACTCCGTCCTCGTAAGCTGTTTCTTCTACATCTTCTTCTCTTTCAACTCTCAATATCATCAATTTAGTGCCTTATAGAATAGTTCTCTTTTTTCTCGCATTTTCTCCCCAATCAAACAGAGTAAAATCCCCTAATCGATCGAAGTGATACTTTTTAGGATTATGCAGTGTTATGTGTTAATTATAGCTTAATGATATATGATTTTAGGCCGAAGCCCATATATAAGGATCCAGATGATGGACGACAACGGTTCTTGCTCGAGTTGGAATTCGTGCAGTGTCTTGCTAATCCCACTTATATCCACTGTATGCCCTTTTCCTTTCACAATCAATCACAGTGTCTTTCATCCTTGTTGAATCGTTTACCTCATTTCTTTGTTTTTCTATGCTATATTTACATAGTATATAATTCTACATATATGTATAGGTATATATTGCATTGTAGTATTAATTAGAGGTTGTTTCTTGCTTATGGACAACACTTACATCTGATATTAGCCTTCTATTTGACAAAATGGAAACAAATAAATGCAGTTTACCCAAAAATATACAGATGTTGGAGATGGAATTGCACCTATGACTGGAATGTGTGTGTAATATATATATATATATATATATATATATATATATATATATATGACTATTAGGTGTTGAAATAATTTGTCTTCAAATTAAATCTTCACCATTGGATATAGAACATTACTGCTTTTTTAACTTCCCAATGGGATCTGAGATATATATATATATATATATATATATTTATTTATTTATTTATTAGTCTGTGTTATGAAATAATTTGGTGGTTTATACATGTGAAGGAAGTCACTGTCTTGGGTGGTTTAAGCTCTAGGTATTACTTGGACACCTTTACTATTCTTAGTTTTGCCTCACATTTACATGGCATTCTTTATGGTCAGTGTGAGGAGATGAACTTGTCTTTGCATACATAATGATGTTGATAAACTATCATTTATTTGTCATATCGTGCATTAATTTTAATGCATTATTTATTGTGTATCATGTTTCTATAATATTGTAATTTAGTATTGTAACATGCACTTAAATTTCTGCTCCAGATTTGGCTCAGAATCGGTATTTTGAAGATGAAGCTTTTATTGGTTACTTGAAATACCTTCAATATTGGCAGCGGCCAGAGTACCTAAAATTTATAATGTGAGATTTTCCTTTAGACTCATCATTCTCTATATTGTTCTACTTATGTTTGGGTTGATGTCTAGCAGCATTGTTAGTCTTTGGCTGCTGACTTCTTCTGTTAATCAGTAAAATCTGATTTTCGGGTCTTACGGTAAAATTTATTCTTATTTTCTGGTATTTTTACAGGTATCCACATTGCCTATACTTTCTTGAGCTTCTCCAAAATGCAAACTTCCGCAATGCAATGGCACATCCTGGCAACAAGGTTACATTTTTCTTCTCTCTCCTTTTTCCTTTTCATATATCATGATCAAGGGAATATGTTTCTGGAATTCTCTGCTTGATTTCTATATTCACATTGTTTTGCTTGTATTTCATTAATATTGAGAAAGGAAAAAGGTTCCAAATCTGCTTTTGAAAACTAAGAATGAGAATGTTTATTGTTTTGTTTGTATTTCATTAACATTGAGAAAGGAAAAGGTGCAAAATGTGCTTTTGAAAACAAAGAATGAGACTAATTATTGATTTATATATATTGAGTAGATTTTCCATGATTGGTATCCCTCCTAACTAGGGTTAAGTAGCAATAATTCTGTCAGTAGCTTTACTTATCAAATAATATAAAAAATACAAATAAAAATCTGTCAATAGTCTTAAATCCCTTTGTTTCCAATATGTTCTCTTATTCGCTCTTAACAATTTCTTCTAAAGTCTCTTTCCATTTTCGCTTGTCCTATTAAAGCATGCTTACATAAATAGTACAATTGCGGCTGATTGTGTGATAGATTGATAACTTTGCTTCTGTGTACATATTGAATAAATATGTATTTGCTATTCAGAGATTGCATAACATCACATATTGATTCAAACATCTGCTTTATGTCTTCAGACTGTGAGTATTTAGATTCCAGAACAGAAATCAAACTATATAATTTGTGTCAATTAGATGTGCTTAGTAAGTATAATGTTACTAGAAGCATGAGTAGCTGGACGGAAGTAGTCTAAGTTCTCTTCAGGATTGTTAATTATTAATGTCTATGGCTTGGTATCTATTGACAATTTGACATGGAAGACTTTCATATTTCTATCCTTGGATGGGCTCTAATTTTGTTTTGTATTTGATGAAATTGTTAGGAACTGGCACACAGACAGCAATTCTATTTTTGGAAGAACTACAGGAATAATCGATTAAAGCATATTTTACCAAGGCCACTTCCCGAACCAGTTGCTGCACCCCCTGCTTCTGTTCCACTTCCTCCCTTGCCACCAACCACTGTCTCGGTTTCTGCTGCCCCTGCTCCTGTGTCTGCTCCTTCTCCTGCTTCAGCCCTTTCTCCTATGCAGTATGGGATTCCATCTGGTTCTGCTATACCAAGGAATGATATGAGGAACAGTGGGGTTGATCGAAGAAAGAGAAAGTACATTATTCACCTTTTCGCTTTTCTTGGAAGTTGATAAACTTCGTTGAATACTTATCTTTTCTTTAGAAATTTTTAAAAACTAAATCGTCTTCTACATTTAAGATGATGCACGACCAATTTGTGATACATAAATATTTTACTTATTACAGGAAAGAAGTGTGACTTGACATGTCATATTCAATAAAAGTGATGGATGGAGTACACTAGCTGAGGTAATCTCTGTTTTCTATCTCCCTTGGATTATGAGGTTGAAGTGGAAGTATAAAGTAATTCATGTTCACAATTTTTATATTTGCAACTATGATTCCCGATACTGCCATATTGATAAAAAATTAGGTCTAAGTGTCTAAAAGGCAATAAATTGGCAGTTACTTACATTTAGAATCAAAAGGTTATCTTGCCAGAAAAATAAAAAAAATAAAAAGAATCAAAAGGTTAGAATATCTTTGTTTTCTGCAATTTCTTTTTTCCTGGTTCCTTTGGTTGTCGCAACAAGGACAACCGAATTTGTATCAGATTACAAGCTTGTAGAATAATATCTTATGATAATCCAGCCTTTTATCATTGATGTTCGCCTGAAATTCTTGAAAAAGTACACACATGAGGTTGTACATCATCATCATCATCATTGCCTTTATTCCATATGGATGGGGTCAGTCGCATCGATTTTCTTTTTCCATTCTCTTCTATCATAAGTCATTTTTCCTATTAGATTTACTTTTTAAAAATTATTTCTTATTATTTTGATTTCATGTTAGTTTTGGTCGATCTCTTTGTTGAATGTGTCCATATATGAAGGTTATTCTTAGGTTTTTTATTTTATTTATTTTTTTAATGGTTGGGTCTATCTTTATGCATATCAACTCACAGCTTGAAGTGTTGACACTTGACCGCATAACAATGATGATGATCATACAATAATAACAAATTTTCCCCTCAGTTGGATTATCCTTCTTGGCTATGAATAATCATTCTTCTAAGTGATTGCTTTGTGATTCAATCACCATTCAATTTCCCTTCCATTCATGAGCTTGCTATAGTCTGATGGTTTGCCCTAAATCTCCAAGAATTTTAAACATACTTTTCTTTTGGGCATGGATTGAGAACTACATTTAATTTACACATACAAACAATAAACTCTCCTTGCATTTGTGTTGTATATTTTCTAACAACTAAAACCTACATGTCATTTTCTCAAAGCTTGCCACTTCTTGTCAATATATCATGGACAATTTTACCAAATATATATATATATATATATATATGTATATATCATGGACAAGAATTGGATGAACATGATATGTGGTGCACAGTAGCAACGGGTTGATGGAAAACCAGGTTTTGATTTTGGATTAAATCGATGTTACAGTAAGTTTGATGCATGTTAAATTATTTAAACTATTAAAGCTAACCTTGTATAAGCAATCCGAAGGCTAATCCGGCAACTGTTGGCTAGAAGGCAAAACAGCTTTTACCGGGGACTAGACTGGTGGAATTCTAATTATTAAGACTGACCTCAAATTTGGACCAGGTCAGGCATTGAAAACCAAAGTTAGCTCATCAGGTGTAACAGGCACACATACAAAGGTGGCAGGGGAGGCCAGAATATTTCATACATCTCTGTTTTTTACCTTTTGTATTATTCATGTACTATGGCTGATTGCTTTGAAAACTCGAAAACCACTCCAATTCAACTATAAGATCCCAAGTTCTTATTTCTTTTCCCAAATCTTCTTGGCAGTTAAACCATCTACTGCTCTACTCCTGTAAATTTTCTTTTTAGTTTTGGCGAAACTGATGAATGCTATCTGGCATCTCTTTTGTCATCCAAGTTTGTTGAAAAGAGTATGCCCATCATTTTTTTTTAAAGGTTCATTTTTCCCTGGTTGTACATTTTGATTTCCTAATACTTTTTAGTTGGGCATTTGTATAAGTTATTTCACTGGCTTTATATTGTCGTTGTGGGTTCATTTTCTATTTTTTATAGTCTTCTGGATGGAGAACTAATCTGTTCAGAGGTTCCTGAATTTTTGTATAGGGCCAAGGATCAAAATCCACTCGAGTACACTCCTGGCTGTTCAGATTGAACTGCGCAAAATGTTCCACTCAGTAGTGAAATTTCAAAGTAAATGTGTGGAAAATTTGCACTATGGGGTACCACGGGAAGGGGTGTACTGGATAGGATTTTGATCCGAGGGCAGAACCATACATCACTGTGTCAGCTGTTATTACTTTGCAGATTTGTTTCTGGCACTTCAATTCTTCAGAAATTAGAACTTTAAGTAGTTCTGAATTTAAGACTTTATGTTTATCAGATGTGTTCTAATGCTCTAGTATAGGTGATGTGGTATATTTTAAAATATGGTTCCAACAAGAGTGATTTATACCACAAAGTGTGTGTTCTTTAACTTCTTGCAAATATATGTATCCTCTATTTATATTTTGCTGCAAAACTGAAATGTTTCTGTTCTTTGTGACTGTATCATACTTAAAACTTACCCCTTGTGCATATTAAGGAATTAGATGTAGTGGAAGTTTCACATGATATATCAGGTATTCTGATAGCACAAATCAGTTTGCAGGTCAAACGCCTTTGGTACCTCGGCCATCTTGTTGTCCCACAATGGAAGCTTTGAGATCAAAAAACTGGAAATGAAGAAGTCAAGTCTCATTTTATCTGGCTATTTCAGGATTGGGACAACCATTTTTATTGTTGGGGTATCCTTTTTTCAAGGTTAAAGAATTATTATTCCGCAAACAAGATTTTTGGAATTTGCCAGTGGTAACTGTCACCCCTAATTGTTGATTTCCAGTTCTTGTCATGGGCTTAAGATATTACTTCACTGCCAGAACTGTTGGTTTTACCGTTATGCCTGCATATGTCTTATTATGACCATATTTTTACTGGTTTCAGATCTTTATACTACCTGTGAGTAAGGCCTTGCTGTAGTTGAAATTGAGCTTGTGTATCTTTTAAACATTTTTTAGCATTTCATTCTTCAAAAACTTGGCTCCTTTATTGTTCTTAGTTAGTTCTGACAGTAACCCAAACAACCGTCAATTGGTGTACTGACCATTGTGGTAGCTTATTGCATCATTGTTGGAAATGAAAATGAACACTGGAAATTTCCAATGTTCCTATTTTCTGTGTCTTGTGTGTGTGTGTGTGTGTGTGTGTGTGTGTTTAAATAGTTTGGAGACATCTCCCTTTACATGTAATTATACTATGTTACCATTGCTATGGCTATTTTCCGATTTTAAATTGTTTTAACCTTAGGCTGCTGCTCATCTTCTCACTCTTGATGGTAAAGCAAACTGGTGTGGCAATGGCTAGTTCTTATTTTCAAATGGTTGTGAGCATTATGGATTTCTAACTTTCTGATTTGTCGTATAAGGAAGAAGATTATGACCTGTTCTTTTTATCATGTTCTGAATTGAAATAATCACCACCTTACCCTTTTTATTTTTACTCTTTTGAGAGGACCTCTCTCTCAGCTAAGATCCATTCATTCACCTGGTAGAACATGGTTTTGAACAGATTGTGTGGTTTGAAACTTTGAATACAATACTTTTAGTATTTAAATGTCCTTGACATGTTTTGTCTCCGCTTGATCACACATCTTTTTCATATGTTGCTTGTTTTAGTTTTTAATCACGATTTTAAGTATTTGGATCCAATATGTTACATATAACACCAAATACAGCATTGCAAAATAATTTTAATATTTGTTATGTTTGGGATTAATGATTTGAATTTGAGATTGGAAAAAGTTTAGTTTAAAATTTGTATTAAAAAATTTCAATTCCAAATTCAAGGTCTGATCCTGCTTTTATATTAAACTATATACAAACAGAATATATATATATTTGATACGTAGATGTACGAGCACTGCACTGTGCCTTGTGCTAGCTAATAAACTACTATCTCTGTTTTCAATTTTTCAAACACCGACTATTTGTTTTTATTTTATTTAAAAAATATATTATTTTTTATTTTCAGACTTTTAAAAATTATTATCATAAATCTGAATAAGGCAATTTAAAAGTCCTATTACCAAAATTATATCATTATGATTGTCACAATTTAAAACGAATATATCAAATCATATTGTTTTTGCATTAACTCAATTCAACTCACTAGTCTTTCTATTCAAATATTCTATATATATTGGGACGGTCTAAATTCCTAACATCAATCTATTCCCGTATCATCATTTTTTTATTAAATTTTTCTCACGTAAATTTTGTTTTTCTTCCTTCAACTTTATTTTTGATGTGAATTATGTCACATTCTTCCTAATTAATAATGCGTTGGTGTTACCTTTCTAAAATAATAATAATAATAATAATAATGTGTCTGTGTTGTTTGCTTATATCCAAAGCCCAAACAAACTTAATCTATTTGATTTCATTTTACATATAATAGATGCTACTTTAACAATATCACAAAATAGAATGCTACTTCTCCAAATACAACCTAGGGAGTATTTTTTACCACTCTCAAAAATAGAATGCTGGGTCATTTATTTATTTTTATTTTTTTTGGAATTTTTCCTTAGAGAAAAAACTTATTATTATTAAGAACTTATTACTAATTTTTAGTTTTTGCTACTGAAACTTTCAACATTTCTTTTCTCCAATTGACTTCGTACTCACCTTCACACCGTTTCTCTCTCTATATGTGATTATCCAAAAAACTTCCATCCTAGTCACTGCCATTATATATTCGCTTCTTCTCTCTCTCTATCTCTTTATATACTTCTTTGATCCACAGCTATAATTTCTCACTAAATTGTTATAGTTCTCATATTTTGGACTGTTTGATGCTTTTTAATTTCTGGGTGTTCTTTGTTTTACTTTCTGGGTGTTCTTTGTTTTACTGATATATACACACACACATATATAGACAACCATGAACGCCCTCGCTGGCACGAACCGCAACTTTCGCAATGCGGCTCGCATTCTTGGGTTGGACGCTAAGATTGAGAAGAGTCTCCTCATCCCATTCAGAGAAATCAAGGTAAGAACATTTTGTATGTGTATTTTGTGTGTGTGTGTGTTTTTCCAATGGTCAAATTGTTAGATAATAGTGAGTTTTGATATTGAGGTTTTTTGGGTTTGATCAGGTGGAGTGCACGATTCCCAAGGATGATGGAACTCTGGTATCTTACGTTGGATTCAGAATTCAGCATGATAATTCTCGTGGGCCCATGAAAGGAGGGATCAGATACCATCCTGAGGTGATCACTGTGTTTTTCTGCTCAATTGTCGTTTTTGTGTGTGATGATTTGATTGTTTTAACTGAAATTTGTTTTTGGGTTGATGTAATTTGATTTACTATGTGTTCAAATGTCCCATGGAAGTAGAATTATTATATTTTTCATTTGAATGGACAAATTAAATCAAATGCCTTTAAACAGAGAACAGAATGTCTTGACATGCGAGAATGAAAACCTAGCCTGTATTACTTCATTACATTCTAAAGATCAATTATTTTTCAGTGTGCATGAAACTTGAATCTTATATGCAATACAGAAATGATTGCTAAAAGATTGTCAGCTTAATTAGTTGATTTTCATATTCCTATTAGTGGTTGCTTTGGTTTACCTAAACTACATATAAAACGGTATTAAAAATCTATGTAGTTGCATTACTAGAGGAGAAGCTATAGAATAAATAGAATATTTTGATGTGATGTGGTTTTGGGTATGTAGTTCTTGATCTACATACCCAAAATACTATGAAAGTCTTGATTGCAGAAGTCAAATGGCAATTCATTATGACCTACTACGGCTCATTAAAATGTGGTTTACCTCATATGCTCTGCCTCCAACTTCCTTTCATGTAGATATTAACTGGAGAAAGGGGATCCTTCAAGGTGTTTTAGTTATGATGTCTGAACAAATTTTTTTTTGGGGTAAAAAGTGGTATTCAGCAGTTCAGTAAATTGTTTCTAGCTGATTGATCATTAAGATGGTGCCATTGACTGCTAATAAGTAATTAGTCTTGCCATTAAGTTAGACATTTGTTGTTCGTTCTTGCATGAAATTATGTCTCGTGGATTTTTGTGCCGATTTATAGGGGATACTTTCAGATGGATTTTCTTTTCTCTGATTCTTTATGTATGGAGGCAGAGTGCAAATTCAGTTGTTAGTAATCTCTTTCTTTTGTGATACATGGAAAAAATATAATTTTTTTTTTTTTTTTTTTTTTTTTTTTTTTTTTTTTTTGTACTGAGACATTTCTTAATTTTCTTCTAAAAGGTTGACATTGATGAGGTAAATGCTCTGGCTCAACTAATGACTTGGAAGACTGCTGTCGCAGATATTCCATACGGTGGAGCCAAGGGTGGAATTGGGTGCACACCAAGGGAGTTGAGTAGGAGTGAACTAGAACGTCTTACCCGTGTCTTCACTCAAAAGATTCATGATCTTATTGGAGTTAATACTGATGTTCCAGCACCAGATATGGGAACTAATGCCCAGGTTCCGCTATTACTACTTTTTATTGCTCGTGTTCTTTAATTTTCTTGGAAATTTTCCCTCCATGAAGCTAAAATATTATTTGTGTCAAAAAATTTAAAAAAATATGTACACAGACTATGGCATGGATTTTGGATGAGTACTCAAAATTTCATGGTCACTCGCCCGCTGTTGTGACAGGAAAGCCCCTAGTAAGTGCTCAAGATTGGAAAGTTCAAGCATGCTTTCATTAGATTTAATATATTAAAATGCAACTTAGAAAGAAACAAGTCCCCATCTATCTCCCACAAACACCCCATTGATGTTTGCATTTTAGGATCTAGGTGGATCACTGGGTAGGGAGGCCGCAACTGGACGTGGTGTTGTTTATGCCACGGAAGCTTTACTTGCTGAATATGGGAAGTCTATTAAGGATTTGACATTTGCAATTCAGGTAAAATTTTCAATCCACTCCATGGTTGGAACTGCTCGGCCATGTTAAGTACTATTTTTCAGAGTTATGCCAGTAAAGATAATGTACATTCTTTTAGGGTTTCGGAAACGTGGGATCTTGGGTTGGAAGACTCATTCATGAGAGAGGTGGTAAGGTCATTGCTGTGAGTGACATCACTGGAGCGGTTAGGAACCTAAATGGAATTAACGTACCAGATTTGTTTAAGCATAAAGAAGCAACAGGGAGCTTAAATAATTTCACTGGTGGAGATGCCATGCCTCCCAACGAATTGCTGGTACATGAATGTGACGTTCTCATCCCATGTGCTTTAGGTGGAGTTCTGAACAGGTTTGTCCCTTGTTTTGCCAAGAAACTCGTTATTTGCAGCTTCTGTTTTTTCTTATAGATTGGGAAAATAGATTATGAACCAAAGATGATATGTGCTTTCAGAGGCTAAAAAGGAAAATGTTAACATATATACACACTATCTACACAGACACATCCATATTTTCTTAGGACACAGCCACTTATGGTTGATTTTTCATTTGGTGCCGTTGATATACAAAAGGTAAGAGTAGAGCAGAATGCTTCGGTTTACAATTATGGGACGATTATATCCATCCCAAATGGATTGAAAAGGATAGATGTTTAAGAACTTCTCTAATTAATATATCTCAACTGATTTTGCTTTCTTTCTTATGATTCACCTTTGAAGAGAAAATGCTGGAAATGTGAGGGCTAAGTTTATCATAGAAGCGGCAAATCATCCTACCGATCCTGAGGCAGATGAGGTACATTGCTTGTAACTTTTTAAAAATCTGTTGGAGAAAGTGTATATGCTCTGAAACATGAGTTACTATTGATGCAGATTCTTTCTAAGAAAGATGTTATAATACTCCCTGATATATATGCCAATTCTGGTGGCGTGACTGTCAGCTATTTCGAATGGGTTCAGGTAACAGATGAACAGAACACTTGACACCCCTTCTATATGTCTAATGCAGCAAATATTGTGGGTGTATCTTTTTTTGATTATATTTTTTCAACTCATATATATCTTCTGTAACCCTCAATTAATTTTGCTCTTGCAGAATATTCAAGGTTTCATGTGGGATGAAGAGAAGGTGAACAATGAGCTTCGAAGGTATATGATAAGAGCTTTCGGTAACATCAAGAACATGTGCCACTCACACAATTGCAATCTCAGAATGGGTGCCTTCACACTGGGGGTGAATCGGGTTGCACGCGCCACCCTACTAAGGGGTTGGGAAGCATAACTAGTTTTCGTTCTATTTCTCTTCTTTCTTCAGATATATTAATTGTTATAGCTAAACAGAGATTCAGCTTTGTGCCTTGTATCAAGGTTTTCTTCTGTCCTCTTCTTTCTGTTTTTAATATTTTATTTTTCCTAGAGATTGATCATTGTATCCGTTTGGAGTATTCATTTTAATGAAAAATAAGAAGAAAAACGGAATAACATTCCACCAATGTGTTTTGAGACTCGATTACCATCTTTAAGATTAAGTTGAACTATGTGATTTGCGCTGTGAACCTCACCGTCATGCACATCAAAGGCTTGATCTGCACCAGTTCATCTTTTGAAGACAGCCTGCCCTGCTTGACTAGTTGACTTAGAACCTATTAATGTTTTTGTCTGGGACTATTAATTTCGAGAGATCTGCTTAATAGGTTTCACCTTGTTGGAAGCAGTTTGTTGCAGCCTAAATCCAAATGATCAACTTTCTATGCTTTGTATTATCAAGATGAGCTGTGATGATTAAAGAAAGAATAAAGTGGTTTTTTTTTTTTTTTTTCTTTTTTTTTTTTTTTTGATCTCCATCTGAATCAAAGTTTGATGTAATATAAGCACATCCAGCCTGACTGAAAATATATTCTTTCATTCCAATGTGACTTGCTTGGAAGGTTTTTTTTTTTTTTTTTGGTGATAAATCTAATAATTTATTAATTTAATGACAATTGAGGAGCAGATATTGATAAAATGGCTTGCCCATGACCTTTCTGACAGAAACTGGAAGGAGAAGATAGGCATATTTATCTCATATTATGGGCCTCTTCTCTACCTTTTATCCTCCAAAGCATTTCATCAACCAACAAAAACAAAGGTAAAAAGGAAACCACAGAAGGAAGAAAGAACTACTTTTGGATATCCATGACTTCTATTGCCATTACTGCCTCAATGCAAAGAGCTTGCAGCTCTCCTCATGTCACCAAGAAACAACAGCAGCAGCAGCGGGAGGCCAGACCTGCAATCTCCTTCGCAACAAAGCAGGCAACCCATGTTGTGACAGTGGATTCCGAAGGCCACAAAGCTTTAAGCATTGCTGAAAAACTGGAGAAGTCTGCTTTGAACATTGATAAATCGAGGGCTGGCGACGATAAAGCAGAGTGCGGTACGGACACACAACCTTCTGTTCCCAATTTCTCCGATGAGTGATGGAAGAACGGGACGTGGGATCTTAATATGTTTGTTAAAGATGGCAAAATGGATTGGGATGGTGTGATTGTTGCAGGTTAGAGGTCATATTTTTGTCTATTTTCAGTACATTCCTTATCTTTCATTTCATGTGCAACTATCTCAACTACTGTGACAAATTGTGCTTGTTTCAATTTGTTACGCATCCTCTTCTATAAATTTATTGGGTGTGTTAAAAAATTATAGTCAAATTCGGATTATTATCATATACTGTTGTAATTTGGACCCTGATTATAATATTAAAATGCATCTATGTTCCATAAAATGGATTCACTTTATTAGGTTCAGTGGAAACCAATCAAATAAAAGGTTCCTAGTTAATATACAGTACATTTCTTAAACAAACACCCCTTTTTTTTTGTTTGCTGAGAAATTAACTGTTTAGATAGAATTGCAAGGTACAGAGAAACATAGTTTTGAGGGAAAACTCAAAGATTTAAGATTAGAATTGCAGGGTATTAAAAGAGACAGTTTTGAGAGAAAACTTTAAGATATATCCTGGCAACCTGCACAGGTGGTCGAGTGGATAAAGATTCTCTTAGGATGAACCGTAAACTCGGATGTCTAATACTTGTGAATTACATGTGATTGCACATATTCTAAAAAAAAAAAAAACTTTGCAATTTTTAAAAATTTTATTTTTTATCACTAGGGTTTGAATGTCTAAAAATGAACCACCCTTCAAGTCAAATAGAATGTTACTAACATTTTTTCTTGGCACATAAATGGAGAGTTAACCAAACCAATTGTAACTATGCTGTTTGGACTTGTAGAAGCAAGGAGGAGAAAGTTTCTTGAACTGAATCCAGAGGCTGCAACAAACCAAGCTCCAGTGCTATTCAGAAGCTCCATCATCCCATGGTGGGCATGGATCATGCACTCCCACCTCCCAGAGGCCGAGCTTCTCAATGGTTAAAACACAGTACCTCTCTTGTTAATTTCTTCACATTCTTTTTGGCAAATTTGTATTTCTCTGACGCGCATTGTTTGGCAGGTCGAGCTGCAATGGTAGGGTTCTTCATGGCATACTTTGTAGATGCATTAACGGGACTCGACGTAGTTGGCCAAACCGGCAATTTCATAAGCAAGGCTGCTCTCTTCTTGACAGTCATCGGTGTTATCCTTTTTAGACGAACCCGAGATTTTGAGAACCTGAAAAAGCTAGCGGATGAGGCCACATTCTATGACAAGCAATGGCAAGCTTCTTGGCAAGATCAAGATGCAAGCAGTGGCACTTCAAAGCAAGGTGGCAACAAAATATAGTCCATATTTTGGGACTCATACTGTAACTGAACTACATTAATCTAACTGTTTCTTTAATGTCATTATATTACAATACAAACGTTTGAACATCTCGGAAAGCTGTCCTTCACTTCAATTTTAGAAAATATATAGCTGCACTACCAAGATAATTTTTATTTATTTAAAAATTTCGTAACGTACACTACACATATGACACTCTCTCTCTTATCTACCAGGCTGGGTTACCATTCTAAGCAAACAAAACGTTTATACATAGATACAAACGTAACATACAAACGTATATATATATATATATGCGACAAAATCGTAACTGAAAAGGCAAAATAATAGCAGTCGTCCAAATAAACTCATCCTATCAAACAGAGTTTCTCACGGAACTTCAAAAATGTAACTGCAGTGGGCCTCTGAATTTTATACTGACACAAAACCAACGGCCAACGAACCCACCATTAATTCTTATACCATGTTTGGGTGGAAATCTAGGAATCACGGAAACTTTTATGACCCTTTGAATATGTGTTCGATACTATATATACATGTTCATAAAAAAAATTAATTTTATTATTTAAGAAATTTTTCAAACCTATCTAAGTTTATAAGTATCATAATATTATTTTCTAATTCATTTCAGAACAACTCTTAACATACAAATTATAAATAAATTAAAATTTTATAACACTATTACTTAATGTATAAAAATAAAAATATATATTTATAGGTATCCGTGTGGATGCCTTTACCTGTGTCCTAGAAGCTACATAGGTGGAAAGGAATGGAGAAAAGATAAACAGAGGGTATGCCTAATGTGGAAATATTTTTTTTGGTAATAAATTAGCTATTAGTAGTATTTGCATGGAGTAGTTTTCTTATACTATTACTCTTTAGTAATTAGTATTCCTTTCAAAGATGGAAAGGAATGAAGGAATGAATTATATTTGTTAATATTATTATTACTATTATTATTATTATTATATTTGTGGTGAGAAAAAAGATCTGATTTTTTTTTTTTTTTTTTTTTTTTTTTTTTTTTTTTTTTTTTTACCCTCATTAAGTTGAGAGATTTCTTTTTGGAGAAAAAGAGGAAATTAATTATTTTTCCTTTCAAAGAAAAATAATAAATAAATAGGGCAAAAGAAAATTAAAAAATGAATCATCCATTTTGCTTTTAGTTTCAATTAGAAGTATTCTTATTGGATTTTATTCTAAGCTTGCTTGTATCTACTTAGTATAAACAAAATTTAATTTTTTTCATTCTTAAAAGCTTTTGTAGTTGTGCATTTTACAATGAATCCAAAAATGTACACAAAAATAAATAAATACGTAAATAAAATAAAATAAAAAAATTGGACAAATAATATTGGAAGAGGGGGAGTATTCTCTCTCTCCTCAAACATTGTACTGAAATTTACTTTACATTCTTGTGCACACACACTAATTCACCATATAGTAATCTCATTTATTATATTCATATCCTTAACAGGTTATATAGCTCTCCACTCTCCCCTTCCATACACACACACACACACACACACACAAACGCCCTCTCTTTCCTCTCACCGCAAATGCTGATAACCTCCCTTCTCTCTCTAAAATGCCTTCTTTCTCCAAGTCGTCCTCCTTCACCTGTCCGCCTTCTCCCCCTCAATTGTACGAATCCTCCGATGGCGCCGCCGAGCGACGCCTCCGGGAGGCGGAGGACCGCCTAAGGGAGGCCATGCAGGAGTTGCAGCGCCGGCGGCGGCAATACCCGCCGTGCGATCACCCCGACGAGTCTTGCATCGCCAACGCCATCGGCAACCTCTGCCAGACCTTCCTCCTCTCCTATGGTGTTCGCGTAGGCATTGGAATTTTGCTCCGCGCCTTCAAGCTTGCTCGCAGACAGTCGTATTCCTCCATTCTTGATCTCAAGGTCAGCCTCTTTCTTTATTTATTGAAAATTTAACAGCATCAAATAAATTTGCAATTGCAATTAGCTTTTTCTTTGAATTTGTGCGATGATGCGTTTATAATGTTTTTTGAACTGAATCAAGGCTATGTAATGTTTGGGAGCACCGAATTGGCGTATTGAAATTGGAATTGGAGGCGGTTTAGTTCAAACTTTAAATTAAATTTCCTCCAATTTAAATTTTAAGGCCCTGATTCGCTTTTCCCAAATGCAACATCAGGCAAATTTGATCACATAGGTTGTGACAATTTTTTTAGTTCGTATCGGTAATATATCACTCCTAATATATTCAATTTAGTCATTTACTATGTATATTACCTAAGATATTACAGAAATTGTGACTTTATTCAACAATTTATATCCGAGCTTGTGGATGGCTTTGCATTGAAGACGATCAAATTATGTCCTTAAATTTCCTAGCAGAACCTAATCAACAAAACAATTATCAGGGCTGGTTGAATTTAGGAGGAAAAAAAATTAGCTTCACATGCACATTGTTCGGATTTGGCTTGATAAGACGAGAGTCAAGCTCCTTTTGTAATAGCGGTAAAAAGGGTGGTGGCTTTAGCAGTTCAAATCTGGCCTTTAATAAGAAAAACGTGATATGAATTTTGTATAATGATATTGAATTTGAATTTATATTAAAGTCAAAATTTTATGCTTTCCAACTTTATCTTGCCTATCAGTTTCCATTCTCTGTGTTAGTTTTGCTTAACTGTTCTTTGTTGTCTGGAAAAGGTAAAAATGGCATTTGGAAGTTCGGAGTAGAAAAATATCCCAAAATTGGAATCAAAAGAATTCCGCAATTAGCAAATATACCAAGTAAATAAGATGGGCTTTCCCGAAGGACCTTGCTACGTACTTAAATCAAAAGAGAAATGCTTTAGTTATTTTTATTTATTTATTTATTTTTCAAATTGCAAGGAAGTGGCTTCCTATGTAAGATACTTAGTCACCAATTTTTTAGGAAGTGGGTGAGTGCATAGCTATTGCATCGCATACTATGTAATTCTTCAGCATGGTTGCTCGAAAATGCTAATACCCTAACACTTATAATCGTGGAACACAATTTTTGATGTGGAACACTTCCCTTCAGTAATACTAAATTTGACAATCCACACGTTTTTTTCTTCTTATTTCTTCCCTTACATATTGTTCAAGAGAATGGGGAAGAAGTATAGCAGATTAAGAACCTAATATAAGTAGGATTATCTTAATTCAATGTTTTTATAGGCTTCATCCATTAGAATATATTTCTACAACTATTCAATGACAACTTGTGTAGTTAAATAATATTAATTATCATTATTCATCTTTTGGTCAAAAGCAAACCACTCTCACAACCGACTATCCCAAATATGCCACATATAAGCCAAACATATGCATCAAATTTAGAGTAAGTGGTGTTATCATGTTCTGATTCTTGTTCCACTTAGCACGTCATTGGTGTCCAGATAAAATTGTTCTTCAGAAATGTAACTTTTCCACTCTGGAATCATATAATATGCAGCCTCATCCAATATGATAGACACCTTTTCCCGATTTTATGTTCCGAGAGAAGCATTGCTGTTCAGGAGCATATGGTAGATTTTGATTATGAATCTTGCTAGAAAAGGGAGTGTAATTTGTCAATTAATGACCTTCTGAATGCATCTTGAGGATTCTTACGTCTTGATAGTGAAATTTTGCTTTCGATATGCAGCAACTTGTCTCCGAGAAAGATCTTATAGTAAGAGAGGAAGCATGCCGGATTGGTTTGCTTTTTGGGGGATTTACCGGATCCTATCATGCTCTTAGATGTCTGTTGCGAAAGTTGAGAAAAAAGGAGACGCCAATCAATGCGTAAGTTTACAATGTTAAAATAATTTCTATCTATACTTCTTCCCCCTTTATTCCCCTGATTTTTTATTATTGTTTATGCTTTTTGTGGTTATGAATGCCTTGGAGTTGTTTAAAGCTATGAATGCATGATATATCCTATTCCATATATGACTTTTTTAAAGGGGATGATGGAGCAGAATTTTAGCAGGTTCAGTCGCAGGATTGTCTATTTTAGCATTAGATGATTCTAACCGGAGGCGTACACTTGCTTTATATCTTTTGGCGAGGGTTGCCCAGGTACATATATTTAGTTTGCGTTCCTTCTTTGTTTCTTCTTGGTGCATGGATTAGTAGGATTCGGTTTAATTTTGATTTCCCTGCCATTCTAATGGGACTAATTGACCAATCAGTGTGCTTATAATTCGGCAAAGTCCAAGAACAAGTTTCACCTTTGGGGAAGCCATTGGGGACATGGAGATGCTTTACTTTTTGCTTTAGCATGTGCACAGGTAATGCACTTAATTGACTCATTCATCTTCGTAATTACTGTTAAAATCCATCTTATCCTGTGCTATTGTTTGACATGGGCATTTTCTCTCAACTGTCTGACCTTGTGTGTTATCTCCTTTGTTCTTTATCTCATCCATACAAGTGCATTAATTTGGGTGTGAAGGGATACATGTGTGTTTGTTTATTGTTGCTTTCTTCAGAATATAATTCAAGAGGTTTCCGATGATAATGCTTCATTTCTACATCTTCGATGGAAAGAAAAAAAAAAAAAAAAAAAAAAAAAAAAAAAAAAAAAAAAATCTCACGATTAACCTGTTGAAAATAATTTTCTATCATGGGCATATATTCTGGACTCTTCATATTTTTGCAGCAAAATGGATTCCTGGTCATCAGTTGTGTCTTTAAAAACTAATGAAAGTTGGTATTGGAGTTTTTGAATTCTTTGCCATTTATTTTAGTTAAATGATTCCATCATAATTTTATATATCAAGTTGCTTTATGTGTTTGTAATTATATTTTTATTCATCAGAAAAATCTTTTCAGGTTATGTACGTCTTTGTAATGCGTCCTGAGAGCTTGCCAAAATCATATCAGGATTTCATTCAGAAGACTGGACCAGTTGCGCGGCCTGTATACATGGCTGTGAGGGACTGCTGTCGAGGTGGCCCAATAGATGTTAGCTCGCTGTCTGCTTACTTATCTACCAGAAGGAATGCCAACTATGTAAAGCTGGAAGCATTTCCTTCTATTATTCCCTGTTCCATAATTCACCCGGACAAAAATTCGTGTTTAGCTCACAATGCTAGCGCAGCATCAGCTACTTTCAGAAAAACGTTTCCACTTTACTTCTCCTTGACTTTTGTACCATTTGTTGTTCTGCACCTGCAAAAGGTATACCTGTTGCTTATGACTTCCTTTTCTTTCGTTGTGCTTTAGGAATTCAATACTATTTAATGTGTTCTAGGATGCGCTCAGATTTAGAGAAGCTCTGAGATGACGGATAATGGTGGAACTAGAAGGGGTGAATAGGATCATCTCTGTTCTTGATTGATTAATGCCCTTTATATTTTTATTTATTATTTGATTTTTTTGATTTTAATCAATTAGGATTTATCAACTAAACAACTTTGGATCAATCAATCAAGCAAATCACCAGTACATTTGTTTATAGTTGTGGAGGGACGATATCAAGTTTGGAAATAAGAAGATTGAATCCAATTAGGGAACTCTGTAGAAGTTTTTTTTGGCAACATTGTATTGATTCATAAGTTCATTTGGATCCCATCTAATACTAGAGAGTAGAGAACATTCAGTTGGTCAATCCCTTTAGTTCGATTGGCCCATTTAATACAGTTCAATGGATTGGTCAAGTAGCTAAATATTTTATTCTAGACTTGGCAACGTGTGTTTTTATTAGTAAAATGCACTTCTTATTGGGCATACCAACCTCGAATCTTAATTAGCAGAATATACTTTTTTTATTGGGCGTACCAAGCTTGAATCTACTTTGCATCAACTTAATTGATATGTTCAGGCCTACAAGCCCCCATCTCTACATTGTAAAATTTCACATTTGCCCATAATCTAGGCACCATATGGTGTAGCTGACAGCACAACTAGGACAAAGTTACCTGATCTAAGGTATCACATTGCATCATTAGACACCTCAACCTAGAGAAGTCCGTGTATCTCATGTTATAAAAATCTGAGTAGGTCAGATGATTGTTGTTGAATACAATTAACTTTATATCTGGTCCATTTCTAGTTCATGGACGCTCCTGTTCGCACATGTTGGCTTGCTCTTAAAGGAGCTGTTCGCTCGACAGCATTCTTGTCAGCTTTTGTAGGAATCTTTCAGGTAGCTGTTGTTCAGTCCTATGTTATTATTTTCTTTTGTTGTTTCTGCTTCTTCAATAATCTTCATGACCCTGTTTAAAAACTTTGACGCTGCAAGGGGGTTATATGTATGCATAGAAAGGTGGCTTCAACTGACCACAAACTTGTGTATTGGGCTGCGGGTGGAATTTCTGCCCTTTCTGTACTACTGGAGAAGAAAGCTAGACGTGGAGAACTCGCCTTATATGTTCTTCCCCGAGCTGGAGATTCTTTGTGGTATATACTAGTGAATCGCCACCTGCTCCCTCATATAAAGAATGCTGAGGTATTGCTATTTGCACCCTTTATTCTTTTCGCCCAATTTATACCCATTGAGGCATCATTTAGTTCTTGGAAAAAGTAGATTCTGGACACAGTGTTAAGAAATCTCCCATTATTGTCATGCGTTATAGCACTAGTAATTTTTTTTTTTTTTTATACCCCTGGGGAAGTCATTTAATTTGAAATAGGCTTTGACATTGATGCATTATTTCATCTCCTTTCATTGCAATTTCTTCATTATTTCATCTCCTTTCATTGCAATTTCTTCAACTGTATACGGTACATTATTTATTTTCTTGTTTTGTTTCTCCTCAACATATGTAGCCTTATTGAAACAATTATGATGTTTCATTAAAATGTGAGTCACGGTTCCCAAAACAGGACACTTATTTTGGGATAGAGGGAGTATCTAATTTTTCGTATATTTTTGTTCTTATTTTAATAGTGTAGATAAAATTAAGAGAGATTTGTTTTGAAGATATGGTAAAAGTATTCAGATTGAAGATAATTGTTTTGCGTTGTCCTCATTGCCTGAATCGCTGGCTTCCCCACTGTTACAGGTGGCTTTATTTTGTGCTTGTATGGGTGGGATCATGTACTACTTGGAACATGAGCTAGACACAATGGCTCCATTCCTCAGGGGTCTGATCCGTAGGTTCCTTGCTAGCAGAATTAACAACCCAGGCTCTTCATCAAGTCGAAGTGCTTCTCAATCGTACCTACAAACTCTTGATGCCATGAAGAAACCAAAATTGAGAGAGAACCGGGAAGCTGAAACTTCTGCTTCTGAGAAATACAATCTTGAATCCATACCTGGACTCTGAACACCCTTTGTTCAGAAGTGCTCATATATTATCGATGTAGGGGCTCAATCTTGACAATACATTTTGATTCATTTCATTTCGAATTCGTTGTTAGGGCAGCTGTGTTCTGCTCAACTTTTTGAAACCCAGGGGGAGATGATCGGTGTTGTTTCATATCCTTCCACTCCTGGTCAGCATTTGTTGAGATACAATTCCCATTCAATTTCAAGTCTTCCACATATCAAGATTTTATTTTTACTACAATCTTCCTCCATGGAGCTACAATCTTCCTTCATGGAACAGAAGTTGAAAGGAAGAATGTGATATTTTTACAGCTTTAATTAGTAGGGATTTTCGTTTTTGTAAACAAATAATAACTGCGTGTTCTGGTGATACTTACCCTGTCAAGACTAGCTTCAAATATTTGGTAATCAGCACAAATTTTTGAATTTTTTTATTATTTATTCTTTTATATATTTGTCATCGTCCAACACATTTGGCTACAATCAAATTGCTAAGATCTTGGAATCAGCTATGAATAAGAATCCTTCATATGGTGGATTTTGATCCTCCTTTTTCATATTGACAAGTCAGTGAAAGTCTTGGAGACAACCTGAGTTTGATCTTTGTTTTAGGCTTTTGGCATTCTGAAGACTAGTTTGAACAATGTTACCGGAACGATTCATGGGATATGATTCATGAGAGGCGACCTCTGCAATTTTGTCCATCAATTACGATTCATGGGATGTAATTAGGTATGGCACTGCTTTTTACAACTTTGGTTAAATTATCATGTGATTGGGTGAAAAAAAAATTATCATGTGATGTATTAATTAGGTAAATACTACTAACAGAGTGAGTTTTTTTGGGTAAAGAATGTTTAGCTATAGTTGGTGTTACTTGGCGTTGCTGCCAAATAAAAATTATTCCTGTGCTTGTGGTAGGATTTATTTGTTAAAACCTACTTTTGCTTTGAGTTGGTTCTTGATTTTTTGGAATCCTATTATTACTTGTATTTTCTAATTTACATACAAAGGAGTTCTCAATTCCAAAAGGTAAAGGTAGAATTGCTCAAGTCCACAGCGGCTACGCCCCATAAAGTAAAAATTTGTCACCATTACAACCTCATAGAGAGAGGAAGGTTAGGGGGGGAGAGAGAGAGAGATCATGATAGACCATTAATTCTTTTTCATTTATTTTAATTACTGAAAAAATAAAAATAATAAAAATTAGAGAGAAGGTGAATTGTAATAGGTAAAATATGGATTAAATACAAGTACTCATATCCAACTCATTTATAACCTATATTCAACTCGTATTTTAATATGGTCTACTCATATCCATTTAAAAGTGAGCGGATATGGATGATGTAGGTACACAAAATTTCATCGGTGTAGGTACACAAAATTTCATTATAGTGCTTTATTTGAGGTAGAGTTATAAAGAGATCCTTATTTGAGGAGTCTGATCACGTGAAGAATTGGGTTGTTAAAATTTGTTGATTTTGGTGTCTACATAGGCTATTAGCATATTGCAACTGGTTACGTAGGGCAAAACCAGTTCTGCATCTGACGTTACAGATTTGGATTTGGCGAATCGGCTCCACTTGGGCGTGCAGTTTTTGTTGGCTTTGGCTATTACCAAAGTGCAACCGGTTCCATCTCGTGGACTCGGTTCCACTTGGACAGTGAGTTATTATGAAGTTGTTAATCAGTTTTGGAAGCCAAAAAACTTAGGGAAAAAGCTGAAGATTTAGAAAAAAAAAAAAAATTGTACTTGCTATTTTAGAATTAAAGACTAATATGGTAACTGTTTGTAGGCAAGTTGTGGAATACTAGTTTAGTAAGAAATTATGTTTTATAGATTCTATAAATAGAGATGGGTATGATAGGTTTAGAGAGAATAGATAGAAAAGATGCAAGTGGTTTAAGGGTGAGTATTGTGAGAAGATGGGAGAGCATATGTGTGAGTGTTGCGAGGAGATGGAAGAGTATATATAATTCTGCGCGTAGATGTGTATGATTGTTATATCCATATATACTTGTGTTAATGTGATGTGATGATGTTTTGATGATATTTCTGCTCTATGTGATGAATGAGAGATTTAACTCTCAACAACATCTGACCATCGAGTGAGTTAATTATCCCCAAAATATTTTTCCAGGAGGTGTTCGGGTGACCTGTCCAAATGAAGATAGTATCGTATTAGCATCTCACCATCGCCAAAACAGGCGAGTCCACGTTGGGGGTTGCTTTAGTGCAATTGCAAATGGCTTTGCTCTTCAATCTTTAGGGTTTGTGGAATCTCTTTTTATGATCAACGTTTCCATTACAAATTTCCATTGAGGTTAGGGTTTCTACCATAAGAGGGAAAGTTACTTTCTTTGAAAATTAAGTGATTATAGAACATTACTAAAATCATTTCACTCCCTTTTCATCTAACCAAACAAAACTTAATGGAATTTTTAATTTCTTTTAAGGAATATCCAACCATCTATAAAGAAGACTAACTTGAATTTGTATTTGTTTAATCAGCTTGGTTCCCATAGGACTCCTCTAGCCTAAAAGGGTAAAATGAGTAGCAATTGTTTTCAGCTAAAAAAAAGGGAAAAAGAAAAAAAGGAGAGCAAGGCTACCATGAGAATCTTATTAATCACCGGATTGAGAAAGGTTTTGAGATGAGCGACATGATAAAGAGAACTAATCACTCATGGGCTCTATTAACAACATTATTCTTTTAATAAAGAAACACACACACTGACACACACGGGTGAAGTCCATCGTGTGTGTGTGTGTGAAGTTCATCTCAGATTCTTTTATTACTACAGAAAAGAAAACTCTTGCTAGCAGAGTTAATACATATCATATGTGACATAACAACAACATATCCTAAAATATCCAACATTATTACACTATATAAGAAGACTACTTCAATTTGGACCTTGGCCTTGCAAATCCACGCAATTGTCCTGCAGCTGCGAACAGTAGAAATGGAATTCCTAGGAACAGAAGCACAAAAGCCTCATGCGGCGATGTAGCCATGATCAAGTACATGTATGATCCAAACAGAGTGCACACTGAGATTTGAGTCCACGGTTTCAATGGGTATTCGTGTAGGAGGAATATAATCAGAGACACTGATGCAATGAATCCAGTGGAGTTGAACCACACGAATGACCGGTTTGCATTTGAATCTTGTTTGTCTCCGAGATTGCCGCCAAGGATTCTAAATGCTGCTTGGTAGGTTACACTGGCAACCAATGCGGCTATCAATAGCAACACCCCACACAGAAACTCCCTCCTGAGTTTGACAGTGGCGTTGATTGGGTTATGTGATGGCTTGTGGCCCCTCTCTCGACAATGATAAACATCATCTTCACGGACGGCGGAATCCACATCGTTGGCGAGCTCTCTGGCTCCCAAACCTCCTCCTTGTCGAGGCAATTCTTCAATTTCTACATCTATATCACCACTATTTGGTACAACATGTTGGCTGTCCGGAGTGGTACAACCAGATTTCGTGCCATTTACAGACACTAAATTGGTATTAATGTTAGGATGATGATCATACTCGGAGTTGAGTAATCCTTTTGAAGTCTGCATTAAAGAAAGTTGAAAAAGTGTAATTGTGGTTGTTTCAAACAGAGCACAATAACAAACAAGAAAAAGGATGAAAAACAAAGAACATATGGGTATGTTTGGTTAGCGAGAACCAGCTAGAAAGCAAAAGAAAAGGAAAATATTTAAAAAAATTATGCATTTGGTTAGATGGAAAGTGAAAATTTTTAGGAAAGTAGGATTCTCGCTATTGTGAATTTTTTCTAAAAATTTTCCACGCAAAACTTAGCCACTTTATATCTTAGTTTCCTCTTGTGCCATTGTCAGTTGTTTCTCCCCCCACTCTTCTTCAATTTCTCGGTTTCTCCATGTTTCTCTCCGGGTAAACTTAGCTAGAAAGGAAAAGAAAATGACAATATTGAAAAAATTTATGCGTTTGGTTAGATGGAAAGTTAAATTTTTTGAGAAGGTAGGATTCTCTCTGTTGTGAATTTTTCCTAAAAAAATTTCAGTATAAAACACGCGAAAATTTACTTTCTTGCAAAACTTAGCCACTTTATATCTTAGTTTCCTCTTGTGCCCTTGTTAGTTGTTTCTCCCCCCTCTACTTTACTTTTTCAGTTTCTCCATGTTTCTCTCCCTGATTCTCTCCACTCTTCGGTTTGTCACAAACTTCACACCGATATAGATTTCCTTCTGTAAATTGATATAATCTTAATTTAATTATTTATATTTTTATTTATGCATATAAAATTAATTTTTTATTAGTATTATTTTGGGTTCTATAATTAATAGTGATTGAGTATACATACATGTTTTTTTATTGTTGGTGTTGTAGGCGATTGGAATACTTAGTTTGATGGGAAACTTACGATCTCCAGATTTGGGTTTTACAATTGTTGTGTCTACAATTTAGATATTAATAGAAATAATTATATTATTATTTTTAATAATATATTATTTTACTTTCCTTTTATTTTATTTTATTTTGTTAAAAATGGATATAAATAATTAGGTATAAAGTGTTTATCAAACACAAATTTATTTTATCTTAAAATATTTAAATTCCTAAGGGTAGTTTTGGTAATAAAATTATTTTCTTTTCATTTTCATCTTATCCAAACTAACAAAGTAATATTTTCTCATAATTTTCTTGAAAAATTTTCCTACTAACCAAACGCATACTGGAAACTTGATTTTCTTTTCCTTTACTTCACTTTCTATCATACATTTCTATCTAATCAAACGGACCTTCCTTGATTCTCTCCACTCTTCAATTTGTCACAAACTTCATGCTGATGTAAATTTCCTTTTGTAAATTGATATAATCCTAATTTAATTATTTATATTTTTATAATCCTAATGTAAATTATGTTGTGTCTGTTCAAGATACCATTTAGATATTAATAGAAATAATTATATTATTATTTTACTTTCTTTTTATTTATTTATTTATTTTTGTTAAAAATAGATAAAAACAATTAGGTATAAAGTGGTTCATCAAACACAAAACAAAGTACTCTAATCTAATAGCAGAGTAATATAATGCAAACTTCACAAAAAAAAAAAAAAATAACAAATAAATAAATAATTTAAAGAGACTAATGCCAAATACATATATGGACATATACATTTATTCATAAATCTAATTATATATATTAGTTTATTACTATTATTATTATTAGTTTATTATTAAATTCATAAGGCTAATTCAATTGTGTTTATTATTTTACTACTATTATTATTATTTAATTGTATACATTATTACCTATTTTACTATTAAATTCATAAGAGTAATTTTGACATGTAAAATTATTTTCCATTCACTCTCTCGCTATTCAAACTAATTAAACAAAATTTTCTCACAAGTTTCTTCAAAAATATTCTTGATAACCAAATACATAAAATAAAAAAAATAAAAAATAAAAACTAATTTTCTTTTCTTTCCTTTCACTTTCTATTGTTATTTTTTTAGCTAACCAAACCGACCCTAATTGATAAATTTGCTATGTACATGCATAACTTTGCTATTTAACAAAATAAGAGAAGTAATTAAGCAATGGATGATACCATACCGGAGGAAATTCTTTCCGTTTATTAACGTCCTTGGGGATGTACACTGTTTGGCAATCATGGAGAGGGAGAGCAGGGGAGGACAGTCGTAGAACAGAGTAAGTTCGTTTGTTTAAATTTGATCTGCAGATTTCTTCATGTTTGGCAGCAGAGCAAGAGGCTTCAGCGAATAAACTCTTCGTCTGTAGCCGTATTTCTGAGAGATCCTCGCGGTGGAGGATAATGATCTTCAACAACTTTTCATCCTTGTGGTGAGGCATCAATGAGAAAGATGATGAATCCACCAGAGCAATCCATTCTTCTCTTTCGCCGCTTAAACTCAATAACACTTTTTTGCCTTCGCTTTGACAACTTGAAAATTCCATTGGCGTCTGCAACTGCACAAATGTGAAATCACCCAAAACAAAGTCTATTTATAGAAATTTTCCATATGTCCTTTTCATTTCGGCCGAACAAGTCTTCCGGACACATCGCCACGTACTCTACAGAAAATATACAGCCTATTTAATTCCCCTGTGGGTCCCGTGCACTTATTGTAGCCAAGGGAAAAAAAAATTCAGCCCCCACAGTATTTTTTTTTATTTTTTATTTTTTATTTGTAACTTTTTTATTTTTCCTAATGCCTGTGGAAATTTGAACTCATGCAATTCCCAACCAAACTTCTTTTATCTTGTGACGTCCGTAAAGCGTGTGGAAATTTGGGGTTGCTAACAATTCTTTGGCAATGGTAGAAGAGTTTCCACGAAAACTCTTTCCAACCAATATTCTTTAGGGGGAAATTTCAGGGAAGTGGTCGCGGCCGTGACCGTAGGGACAATATTATTGCTTCCTAGTAATTTCATAGGGATCTATCTAATATTAACTTAAATTAAGTTTCCTCGTAAACTCATAACAATATAAAATTGTTATGTTATTTTGTACATTTTTTTTTCCCTAACGCATGTGGAAATTTCAACTCATGCAATTCCCCACTAAACTTCTTTTTTCTTGAAGCGTGTGGAAATTTAGAGTTGCTAACAATTCTTTGGCATTGATAGAAGAGTTTCCTCGAAAACTCTTTCTAACCTAGGAGCAAATTTCAGGAAAGTGGCCGCGACCTTATTTTATTGCTTCCTAGTAATTTCATAGGAATCTATCTAATATTAAGTTAAATTAAGATTGTAACAATTGTAAACTAATTACAATATAAAACACATAATAATGCAACTTTTTTTTTTTTCTTTTAGGATTATATTTGGTAGACTGAAAAATAAAAGAAATGATAACATTAGTTACAATAAAAAAGAAAAGTAGAAAAGAGGATAATATTAATTATTTATCGTATCTGATTAGTTAATGAAGAAAAGGAAAAGAGATGATAATAATCGTGTTCGGGGAAGAAAGGAAATAAAGCTATTTTAATAAATTTATAAAAATACCATTTTTTTTTATATATAAATTTTGTCTTTTATAATAATACGGACAAAGTTGGTATTAACAAAGTTTCATTAAAAATTCTAATATTTTCTTCCATTTTTTGAAAGGATAACAAAAATACTTCTATTCATGCATTATTGCATCATTTCAAATCCTTAGTTTTCTTTTATTTTCCTTCCAACGTTTCATAAGAAAGACAATTTCTCATCTTTCTCTTTTACCGTTCTTTTCTTTTCCTTCCATATCCATGGTACCAAAATGACCCTAAGAGTGTACCATCCATATTATATATTATATTGAGATGTAATATTATAACACCATTAAAAAAAATCCACAACTTCACATCATTGCATTCTCAATTTAATTATATTGAATGATATTAGACCCAAACATGAAGGGTACGTGATTCAAGTCGAATTTCATATACACGGAAATAATTCAATAAAAATTTGACACTTGATTTTATAAAGTTTTAGTATTTCTACAATTTAGTGATTAAATATAAATACACATTGAGTAAACCTATCAAATTTAATCAATTCTTTCTATCTGTATTATATATATAACGCAGTATATGAAAATCTAATCACCTCAACTGGCATGGACCATATATTGTGTCATAGATTTATAAAAAATCAAGAAATTAATATGTTTGGATTTTGATTTGATTTCAAGACAACCAAAGCCACAATCATGAAGATAGATAAATTAAAGCTTCTAAAACATTGTGACAATAACGCTGACTGATCCATCACTGGAGAAATCTTTTCTTAATTACTTTTTGATTAATCCATATTGACAACAAAAAAAGTATTTATCGGGCAGATATTAAAACTGTCATCAGGTGGTGTGCCCATCAAATGTGTAACACTGCATTGTTGTCCGAGTAATAAAGGGTGAGATTTTAAGTGCCCCACATATATATGATCATAAGTAGGGGTGTTCAAAAAATTCGGTAAATCGAAAAATCGGACCGGATCGTACTGAATTGGACGGTTTGGACTAGTTGTACAGCGATTTGTTTCGGTTCTGGGCCCAAAATTATGGAACCGTAATTTTTTAGTCCGATCCTGGTTTAGGGTCGTACTGGACCGGACCAGCTCGGACCGAACGGTTACTTTATTATATAATATATATTTATATATGTATATCATATCCTAAACCCTAAATCAATTAAAGTTTTCACGTGCTCCCTTTCTTTCTTTTGTTATTTAAATTCCTTATAAATTTCTTTTTTAAAAAGTCAAATTTCCCTTTTCAAATATATTTCAATTTTCTTTCCTTTTCTTTCAAGTATATCTCAATTTATTTTCCTTTTTTTCTTCTTAAATTTTTTTTTTTTTTTTTCGTATTATATCAACGTTAGTTGATATTTTATTTATTTATTTTTAAACTTTGCCCTCTCAAAATTAAAATAAAATAAAAAGAAATCAACTGAGACCGACAAATCGAACCAAACCAAACCGATTTTTCGTGGTTTGGTTCCATGAATATTATGATTCGGTCTGGTTTCAAAAATAGTGAAACCGTTATAAATAGTTTGGTTCCAAAATACTTTCAATCCGGTCCAAATCGGACCATGTGCACCCCTAATCATAAGTTAGAAATAAAAAAATAAAAAAACATGCCTAAATAACGACGACTTTTCCTCTAGTTTCAAATTTGTCTCATGCTATGATTGAAATTTATTTAAACCCTCAATTTTGCCTTTTGAAAATTTGAAAAAGACATTTTTATCCCTATATTGTAATTATAAATAATAATAAAAATACAATAAATATAATTGTCAATTTTTAAATTGTAGCAAAAGTTCCTTATATTTTGGCATTGAATTGAGGTTGGTATAATTTTTTTTATTATATGTTTTTTGAACAATATGAGAACCTATCCAATCATTACCACATGTGACACAATCTTGTCACGACACATTACGGTCAATAAAAAATAAAAAAGAATAATATCATACAAAATGAAATCCACCCAAATGATCCAAGTATTATTATTATTTTTTTAATTGTTCAATAGGTGTGAACTCCATGTTTCAGCTTTAAAAAAAATAAAAATAAAAATAAAAATAAAAAAGCCACGCGGTTAACATTTTTGTCTGGAAACTGGACTAGTTTTTCCTTTTCATTTCAACGAAAATTCTCGGAAATGGAAATGGATTGAGACTGGTTAATTATACAAGGATATCAATAAAACGTTACGCGTTTGGGCAATCTAGAAGAGTAGAGCTAAAAGATATATTTATATGCGCATTTTGTAAATGTCGTAGCTCGAGCTATATATTTTCTCCAGTATAGCTCAAGATTGATTCAAGTAATTTAAGGAGAGTGAGGCGAGGTTCCTAATTCCTAGACACCAAAAAGATATGCCTCCAGTGATGTCGAAACCAGTTGAAACTAGTGCAAGTAGTAGGAGGCAACTGCAGGATAATCCTGTGGTCGTTGCGCTTGCAGATGATAACACACTGCTTGCAAAGCGCCGCATCATGGAAAATCCGGGACTTGCTACAGAAAGAATTAACGAGGATGGTGACGGTGACGGTGACGGTACCGTTATGGACCTCATCTGTGGAAAAGGCTGTGCAACTGTGAAGGCACTTTTCGAGGAGGTAGCTGGTGATCTACATTCTCTTAAAGACTATAAGGGAAGAACCCTTCTTCACGTTGCAGCAGGGAAAGACGATGTAGAAGTTGTGAGGGTCATCGTCGATTTGTGTCCAAATTCCATCCGAGAGTTGAATAATGAGGCAGAGACGCCGGTTCATGTGGCCGTCAAAAATGGCCATGTTGGTTGTTTTTGGGTGTTGATGGAAAAACTTCAGCAGCCCCAGTACATTAACTGGATAGAGCTTCTAAATCACGGTGATTCTAAGGGCAACACTGTTTTCCACTGTGCAGTTTTGCATAAGCAAATCCAGGTTTCCACTCTATTTTCCCCTCTCTCTCTAGAAGCTTTCCATCTGTTTCATTTTCCAAGTTTTCTGATCCCATTTACTCTAATTTTAGATTTCTTTTCTTTTCTTTTAATGTTTCTCTCAAATGGAATTGATTTTTTAGTATGAAATTTGACTTCTTTTTGTAAAATAATAATATTTTTATTGACTTGAAGAAATAGTCGATTGAAATATATGTTTTTATTTATCCATGATTTAGATCCTGAAAGCGTTGCTTTCCTACAAGAAGCGCTATGGTGCTCATGTGGTGGATGTGAACTCAAGAAATGAAATGGGTTTAACGGCCAGGGACCTCCATCCCGAAAACACGTCGATTCTTATTGACAGATGCATCCATGACATTCTTCAAAAAGCTGGAGCGAAGAGAGGACATGAGCCACTGGGCAGGTGTGAAGAGATGATGCAGAAGATGATGCAGGAAAACATGGACTTCATGAAGAAATCCTTGTTGCTGGCCCTGTTCATTTTTACAGCAAGTGCGGCTTACCAAAGTCTCTTCAATCTCAGCAACATCGATCCACACGAACACCATGTTCAAGTTTTGAATATCAGTGTTATAGATGCCATAAGGTCTCCTAGTCTTCTACCGGACATCTTCTATGTTTTCGCGGCGAATTCGTTCGCATATTTGGGTAGTATGTGTGTGATACTTGTTAACACCTGGTGCATGGGTAGTAAATGCTCACTTTGTTACCGTGCAGTTCCCTTGTTTGTGACGGCCGCAATGCTTGTGAGTTATGGTCTGGCCGCGAAGATCATCATGCCCAAGTTCTGGATAACTGTTGGCCCTAATTATAAGATTCCAAGTTTCTTGGCCGTGTGGTTATTGGATATACCTTTAGTTTTCTTGTTAGTTGCAACATGGCATATATGCAAACAGTTTTGTCATGTCACTTCAGCATGGCTTTAGGGTCTGAGTGCGCCTGGGGGTATTGCAAAAATTTTCCCTCATAGCTGAGATCATGATTAGGGAGGAAAACTGGGACAATAACAAAGTAAATTTATGAGTATCTTTGTTGTACATTACGTCCCCTTTCGTTTTTTATTTTAAAATTTAATATGGATAATAGTGAAAAAAAAAAGGTGCTCTTTCAATAATGTTGACTAATTGTAACATATAAAGCACATTTTATGAATAATTCTTTTTTAATTATATAAATAGACTCTTTCTATGCATTACTCTTCATGTGGAACATCACTTATGATTTGTGTGCTTCCTAGCGAAATCGACTGTGTAAAAGAAATGATGGGCTTCCGATCCTAGCGAAAGCGACTGCGTAAGCTGTTCTAAGTTTCTAATTGACTGCATGCATTCCACACATAACATTCAACATGTTTGGAATTTTACATAATTTTAGAAACAATTTTTTTAATTGCAATTCGTCTTTGTAACAAGGACCTTCAATAGGACCTCTGCTTTGCGAAGCCATGCAATTTTCCTGCAGCTGCCAACAATAGAAATGGTAATGCTAGGAAGAAGAGCGCTAAAGCTTCACGCGGTGATAGTGCCATTATCGAGCACATATATGATCCAAAAAAATTGGACACTGTGATTTGCGGTCATGGTTTCAGTGGGAATTCATGCAGGAGGAATATAATCATGGCCACCGATGCAACAAACCCGGTGGAGTTGAGCAATAGGAATGATCGGGTTATAATCGAATCTGGTTTTCTCAGTTGGAGAAAGCCATTTGTGTCATAATCATATGCATAGCCTTCTTTGAGAGTACCTCTTCCAAGAGGACTAAATGCTGCTTGGTAGGTTATGGTTGCAACCAGTGTGGCCATCAGTAGCAACACACAATATGCATATTCTCTTCCTGGTTTGAAGATTGCATTGGTTGTGTCATGTGATGGCTTGTGGAAGCATCCCTTTCTAAAATCAACCACAGCATCATCCTTAGTGTCGTGTTTGGTGAGATCTTTGGCTGTCAATGCTCCAGCTTCTCCAAACATCTGTCAATTTCCATATCTACATTGGCACAATTCTGTAAAACATATAGGATTCAAGATGATGTGAAACCATTTAATTTCACGCCATTTGCACACACTAGCGCAGCTAATACTTGGACCATATTCATAGACGAGCAATCCCTCATCATAGAAAGCTGGATAAAGTGGCGTAAAATGGTTGCGAATAGGTGCACAGTACTATTATGGACGAAAACAAGCAAGGAAACAATGAAAAACAGAGAACATAAGCAGATACTTGATTAATTTTTCTTTTTTCCCCTTTTTTATTGATTTTTTAATTTGTAACATACTCATTTGCCAAAACCAAGTTCTAAAACAAACTCATATTCAAAGAAATTTGTCTTCCTGAAGTGAACTGACTGAAAATAAACCAGAACAAAGTTTCTAACTTGAGTTCTGGTCATATGGCTTGTCCTAGATGTTCTTCAATCATATTGTTTTAATGATTGTTCTGTAAAAAACCCAAAAAAGAAAAGAAAAAAAAAAAAAAAAATACTGTCCTCTCAAATCCCATTTTCTTTTAATGATTGTTTTTTTTTTTTTTTTTTCAAATTTTTTTAAATGATTGTTGTGAAGGAAGCAATTCAATCCCAATAAAAAGAGTTAAGCAATAGTGATGTCCACCACTTTTTCAATTTTTCCCGAGCATTTCTCGTTTTGGCATAACTGATTATTTCATTACCTCGGGTTACGTGCCATGCTTGTGATTGTGTGTCACAAAGGTTTTACAATGATCTGGAATGTTTTGTTGAGTCCAGGATGCATCGATGGATTTTTGGGCCGAGCGACTCGTGTGGGTCCCACGTCGGGATTTTTGGGTTTTGGAGTTATTTTCTTAATTGAAAAATAATTGTTTTGGATGTCATTTGTTTTATTCATGAGGGTGGAATGGTTATTTGAGGATTGTAATGGCATTTTTGTAGTTAAGTGAAGAGGTGGGGACATTTTGGTCATTTATCATGGTCACACATTTGACTCATGGTGGGCTTGACACATGGACACATGGACACCACATGACATTCATTTAGCTTACCTTGTATGATTCATTTATGCAGAATTAGGCCATGTATGGCTTCTGCAATTTTCCTTCCACCTTCGTCCATTATTATCCCCCATTATAGCACATGGTTTTAAGCCCAAAATTGAGAGCTTTGTGGGGGTGAATTAGAGGTTGCCATGTGAATGAAAAGTGAGCTAGAGAGAGTGAGTTTTCTATTAGTGTATTGGGTGTGTCCATTCCTTCATCACAGCATTTCAGAAGTTGGTTGAAAAGGGAGGAGTTTCATTGATAGCAAATGAGTGTTTGTTCTTCATTTTGGTGATTTGATCCATCCATGTGGTAGCTTGGAGGTGTTTGTTCCAAGGGTTTCAACTCCCTTAAGGTAGGATTGTCTAACCTTCAATTCATTTGCCTTTAATGAGTTAATCTCTTTCAAATTTAGTTGTAAAGTGTATAAAAAGTTTAAACTGAAGCATGCTGAAACTGTTTGGTTGAAATTACACGCTACTGTTTTGCTCAAATTCCTGTAAATTCGTAATTTATCATTTAGAGATGATTTGATATTATGATAATATAGTTAATTAGCTTTCATTAAAAATTAGCTTCACATGAATTGGTTGAGAAATGAATTTACTATGAATTTTTGAAGTTAGAGTGTTTTTGCTGGAAATTCTGGGTTGGGACAGATTCTGTCCGAGTCTTTCTCATCAAACCTGCTTTAAATGGTAAGGTATTTTGGTCAAGTAAAATTTTATCTTGAAAATATAGTCTTTGAACTTTCAGTGGCCTTTGAATTCACTCAGTTTGGATGAGAATTGGGATTTTTATGATTTTTCAAAGATGGAAGCTACAGGCTGAAAATCAGTTTCTGGGCTGATTTTATTTCAAAATTTTGGGTCAAAACTATTCCAATTGGGAAGGATTTTGTTAACCTAAATTGACACTTTCAAAGTATACTGTTTAAGCTTTCATTAGGCTTTGGAATCCCTCAATTTGACTTAGAATTGAAATTGTTATGAATTTTCAAAGATAGAGGTAACAAGCTGCGTATGAATTGTTAACAACTAGTAGGGGTTGTTTTAACTCTCACACCCTTTGTTTCCTTGTGAATTAAATTCTTTAAATTGAACCATTATATGACTTGAATTAGGCTTTCTTTACAAGCATGTTGTGTAATTAAAATCTGAAATTTTGTATCTTAAACATAAATGATGTGTTATGTGTTTTAAATATAGAATTTGAGCTCTTAAAATGTTGTTGATGTTTATGTGCCAAAAAACTAAAATTCTAGTAATCACAATGGTTGTATTGTTATTGTTTGACAAGCTGGAAATTATATATTTAGTTCACTTCAATTTTGGGCTGTTTTGTTATAAGTTTGGTGTTGTAATAGTGTTCAAAAACTGAATAATACATTGTCTTTGAAACATGCTGCCATGATAAATTTGCTGCCAAAGTGTGTCCATAGAATTTCTATATGTTTTCTATGTCTAATAACTTCTATGTTGTATAGAACAGATGACAACATGCTTGTGTTGATTTCTTAAAGGCTATGATAGTATGTCATTGTGAAACTTGCTGCCATAATAAATTTGTTGCCAAAGTATGTTTATAGAATTGGATTTTGATATGAGTAATGATGTGGTATAATAATATTGTGAAGCATGTGTCAATCATGTATTATATTGGGAACAATGGGACGAAACTGATTTGTTAAGGAGGAGTTTTGACTAGCAAGCAAACTGCATTTTTTTTTTGAAAATATTTTGAGAAAAAGATTTTGTGAAAACCCGGACGCCAAAGGGGTACCTAGGGTTCGTAGCGTTAATGTAACCTAGAGAGAACTAGGGAGATCGTCCTAGCGTGGTTGAGCCAACTGGGCCCCAAATGACGCCGCGGGGTTACCAAAGGTCAGGGACAGTGGCCAATCTTTCTCTCGTGTCGCCAAGGGGGTACCGAGGGACGGGTTACAATAACGATTTGAAAAGTGAAGTTTTTGAAGTGAATTGAAAAAATGGAGAGCGACATCGCATGACATTGCACCCATTGCATGGCATATCCATTCATGACTTGGTTTATAAATGTGATATTGTGGTTATTTTTCTCTCGTCATAGCATAGGACCAACTAAGATATTGATTGGAAAGAATGTGGTAATTATGGAGTAATAGAGATAGATATTCTCAGTTTGTGTTTATGATTAGACATGAGTGGTTATCTTTTTGTCTAGGTGCAATAAATTATTAATACTAAATGGTTCCTTAGGTATTAATAGAGGGATAGTCTTTTCACGGTATAGGGGCATACCTTTAGACTGATGGTTATGATAATGAGAAATGTGATTCTTTGTATAGAAGGTTATAATAAGGGAAATGGTTTAGACTCTGTGTATATGGCACTTCATATTTTCCTATGTTGACTGTTTTGTAGGAAAACATGATGATTTGATGACTATTTTCCCCTTGACTTGTATAACTCCCTTTTTGCTTCCTATTCTTTGTTTGGATTCATAGGGGTATTAAGGAGTGGTGGTTAGACATTTCCTGTTGAGCTGTTGTTGCTCATTCCTATTATATATACATTTTTTTCAGGTTACGGACAAGAGGGAATTCCTCCACAGCCATGGATGGATGTTGGGTTCTATTTGGTTATATATCTTTGTATAAATGGGAAATGTATATTTTGAGACCAACATGTATATTTGTAAATATTCTTCCAAATAGATTTTGTTTAATTATTGTAATTAAAGGATTTTGGGGTTTTACGTATGAAACCTACTTTTATATTTCAGATAATGTGTGGACAGGGAAATGGACTTTGTGTGTGCATGTTGGGACAGGGTACTTTATTTAACATGACTTTTGAAACAAGGGATTTTCTTATTATCAGCCTTGAGTATTAAAGTTTTATCTACAATTTTTGAACGGTGTTCCAGGGCTCAGTCAGACATTTCTAAATATGAGTATTTCTTTGTTTTGTTTTATATTCACAACCTGGATTATGGTCAAGGGTCGTGACAAAGTGGTATCAGAGCATGGCTCATCTAACCTAGGGACGACGGGTAGTGGTCTGTCTACAATTAAGGGTTTTCTGGTTTGTGTTGTCTCACATGCTTACGTGCTTACTTGTTACTTATTTTGCAAGCATACTTACATGTCTAAATGGCTATGTGTTTATTTGGTTTGGGCTTTGCAAGCATGCTTATGTGCTTACGTGATAATTGTTTAATTGTTTAAAGCTGAAGCATGCTATGTGTTTAACGGCTTGTATCCATGTGAGTCAGTTTGGGACTGTGGATAGTGTCATTGTTGTTGACTTATATTTCGTTGTAGTATGTCACCTCGTAAGAAAGGTCAGGCACTTAGAGGTCTTGGAAATGAGTGGTAGGACTGACACCAGTAGCGTTGTCATTTGTGGATAGCTTATCAGCATAAGCATGTATGGGTATCATGGCATTTTGTATCGTTGTCAGATGTCCTCATTGGACACGACTTGGTTGGTATTGTGAGGTTTTACCAATGAGGATATAGTTTTGATGTGCACTGATTAGTGTTTAGCTTATCTGGGTGTTTCGTGCATGTAACAGCGGAACGTTCAGGTGTGATTAGTAGTAAGGAGTCCAGAGTTGGATCCTGATGTTAGAAAAGTTTTCGATTACAGAATTGAGTCTTAGTGACTTGTGATTCGAAGAAAGTGGGTTAGTGATAATGTAATTGCTGCTTGGGTATGGGATGGCCAAATGGACCGGCCGGACATTGTGGACCATACCCGGCTCTAAACGCAATATTAAGACACTGACAAGGATGACGGATGGTGTGTCATGGGAGACACTTGCGGTTTCAGGTGACGTCATAGGTGTCTCAGGAAAAGGGTATGTTATGGGATTGTATTAGGCACTGGTGATGCCACATTACATATAAAGACGTTGTGGGCCGGCACTAGTTGTCGACTATGCTACCATACTAACGAGTATGTGTGGGCAG